GACTTGTAGAAGCAGTTAACAAAGCACACATACATATGCATTTATTCACAAATATTTATTGAGTGCCTCGTGCGTACCAAGCAAGTCACTGGTAAACAAAAAGAGGGCTGTTCCTTGTTTCCAAGGAGCTTACAAGATTTTGGGGGAGACAGACCAGATAAATATCTTTACTCTGGCTGGGATATTAAAGGCACACGCATTTTGAAGAGAGAGACAATTTTTGTGTGTACCCACGTACTAAGCGTGCATTCCTCAGCGTGGCCTACAGGAGAACACACCCAGCTCCACGGCCTAGCAAGTGGGAAAGCAACTCCTACGTAACTGCCTTGGGAGGAACCGAAGAGTTCATCTTCTACAAAATGCTCTAGGAAGAATTTTAAGAAATTCAGTTACGGAAAGCCATACACTGGATGACAGATGTGAGACAGACTGCAGAACCACAGCAAAAGACTTGAAGCTGCCCTGGCCAGTTTGGCTCAGCAGTTATAACGAGCGTTGGCACTCAGACCAATTCTGGTCAAGGGCACATACCTCAGTTGCGGTTCATCCCCAGCCCTGGTCAGGGTCACGCAGGAGGCAGCAAGTAGATGTGTCTCTTCCACATCAAAGTTTCTCTCTCTCTCCCTCCTTTCCACTCTATCTGAACATAAATAGAAAAATATCCTCAGGTGAGGATCAAAAAAAAAAAAAAGAATTGAGGCAAACAGCTTCCATTGCTCCTATTCAAAACCAAGACTGACCGAGATCAAGTTCTTGAGCAAGTAACCGTTCGCCCAGGGCCTACTCCTTTACCCTCCCCTGCTATGTCCGTTTTTAACAAATAATAATAAAGCCTCCTCACCGAAAAAATAGCCGTTAGGGTCAGACGCAGGGGATTCTGACATAATTTATCCATTTCTTTTAAACTTCCCCACCAAAATCCATCAAGTTATGAGGCTCATTAAGTACAATGGGAAAATTGTCACTTTAGAGCACAGAATGGTATCAGACACCACTTCAACCAAAAGGCCAAAGCTAACATTCACCAACGATACATGTACATCCCAATACAATGCAGAGAAGAACACAACCTCACCACTGTGGTGTTCTTGCCAAAAATGTTTAACCCTCAATTTAATCATGAGAGGAGATCACACAAATCCAAACCAAGGGACATTCTACAAAATAACTGACCAGTACTCTTCAAAAGGTATAAAAGGTAAAGAAATCTAAAAGGAACTGTCACAAAATGGAAGAGACTAATAGACCTGATACTGGACTGGATTGTGGACCAGAAAAGGACATCAGTGGTGAAACTCTACTAAAGATTTTAGATTAATTATCAACTGCCTGGTTTCAATGACTGTACTATGATCACATAAGAGGTTAACAAAGAGGGGCTGGGTGAAAGGCACGTACCAACTCCCGGGACTATTTTCACAACTTTTTGTAAATCTACAATTATTTCAAAGTAAAAAGTTTTTTAAAATCATTTCAGATAAATGATAAAAGAGGCAAAAGATACCACAACTCTAACATAAAAAATACACTATCTCCTCCAGTAACTGTACTAAAAAAAATCCCAGTAATTACAAATGAGACTTGAGTTGGAATTTTTTTTTCCAACAAAAACCTGCAACTGGCTCTGGCCGGTTTGGCTCAGCGGTTACAGTGTCGGCCTGCGGTCCAGAGAGACCGGGGTTCGGTTCCCACTAAGGGCATGTACTTCGGTTGCAGTTTGTCCCCAGCCTTGGTTGGGTCGTGCGGAAGGCAGCCACTCAATGTGTCCCTTTCACAACGATGTTTCTCTCTCTCTCTCTCTCTCTCTCTTCCTCTCTCTCCCTCCCATTCTATCTGAACAAAAAATGGAGAAATGTCCTTGGGTGAGGATAGAAAAAAAAACCCTGCAACTGGGTTAATCTAGAGAACAGACTAATTTTCCTAGAGCACTGAAGTCTCTCCAGATAAAGAACCTCCTTATTTCCCCCCTCTTTTTTAATTGAATTCAACTTACATTTATTTAATATCTACTGTGGGCACCTAATTGTGCTAGGGCTTCATAAGATTTTGATAAGAAACGATCTGTTAGTACACAAAACAGAGAAAGCAACATGTGACAAAACTGGAAGTTCTTTTCACTGCTATACAACCTGGCAATAAACCTGGACACCCTTTTACTATCCATGTGGATAAGACGGAGGGCCCTGCCCTCACAGCTCAAGTATGCCCCCTTCAACATAACATGGTTCTGACCTCTAGAATTATCTCCAAAAATTATCCCAGAACATGTCAAAATGACTTCCTCTGACAAATACTCCATTTCTAGTCCTTTTTTTCTCATCTAATCATTTTGTTATTGGGGCATTACTGTTTGTAACTGAAAAATTGAACATTTGATTTCCTGAGGACCAGGGAAAAGGTGAGGCTGGCATAACCCATGGAGGTTATGTAGTCTCTTCCGACAAAAGATCCAAAACGCCACCATGTAAATGTGGTCTCAGTGCCAGCATCTTCAACAAAATCCAGGAGCTTGTCTGAAACGTGACTTCTCAGTCCCAGCCCAGACCTGTGGAATGAGCCTGTCAGGGCCCACCATGTTGTCACAAGCATCGTTCTCTCATCACAATGAGACAACTAAAGTTCTTCACCCATTGGTCTTTGAATCACATTTAGTAAGAACCATATAAATGTTAATTTTAGTTTCCTACTTAGTTCTCTATCAAACCTATTTTGGAGGAATTAATTCCACATAACAATAATTCCAAGAAGCCTATCTACCACAGACTGAATTGTGCCCCCTCAAAATTCTACGTCGAATCCTAACCCCCAAAGTGATGGTATCTGGAGGTGGGCAGATATCTTTGAGAGATAATTAGGTTTAGATGAGGTCTTGAGGGTTGTCTCTAAAAGAGGAGACCAGTATCCTTATAAGGCAAAGACCGCCCAGAGTTCTCCTGCTCTCTGCCACGTGAGGGCACAGCAAGGTGGTCGTCTGCATGCCAGGACAGGAGCCTGCACCTGGACCTTGGATGTCTCAGCCTCCAGACTTGAGAAAGAAATGTTTCAGCCACCCAGGCTATGGTATTTTGTCACAGCGGCCCAAGCTGACTCAGACACTCACTCACTCACGTGCCCCTCTGGTGTGGGACTTGAACACAGATTATAGTTCAGAACTGTGCTCCTATCCTCACATGAAGAACGTGTGTGACCAGACCACAAAAAGTATTTAACAAGTAGGAAAAATGAAGAATTTTTAAATGTATAGATCCAGAAATTTCCATTACTGCATAAGAAACACAGCTTCATTTAATCTTCTATTCATAGATTTATAAACTGGGATTCTTCTCACAACCCCTGATACCTGCAAAACGAACCTCAGAAGAGACAGGGAGATCAAATTAGAAAAGGCTGTTTTATAAAAGTTAGAGTGTTCTCCTGAAATAAAACAAACCTGGTAAGATGGCAGAAATGCCCCATCAATCAAGTGAAGACCCACTGACCCTTGAGACCTAACTCCAACAGGCACCTGCAAGCCCTCACCACCCCTCTGCAGGCAGGCGGCCACACACTGTCCTCTTGCTCCAGCACCTCCCTTCCACACGTCCAAGAGGCTTCATTTGTTTACGTATCTGTCCCCTCAGCCGGACCCTGAAAACCTCCCGAGCGGTATGTTCCTCTCCCCAGCACCCAGAATGATGTCTGGCATAAGGCAGGAACCGAGGTTTGCTCAAGCAGAACCACTTTACTGAATACCAGTGAAGCTCTGTCTATCCTGCAGCCTTTCTGTAAATCTTGTTATTCCTAAACAGCTTTAACAACGACAACAAAAGGCACCTACCAACAGTTCACAGCAATAATCAGAACTGCCTTCCGTGTCAGGCCAGGGGAATTCGCCCCTAGAGAGCCCTCCTTCGTGTGTGCCACGCGTGCCGGGAGGGACGTATAATTTCACACATAGCAAACTTGGAAAAGAATGACCAGCACCTGAGATTTGAATCCTGCCGTTAACTTTGATCAAAGGTTTTAATCCGGTTCTCATTGGGCAAAGAGGGAGCACTAGTTCCCGCAAGGTTGCGGGGCCCAATGAAATGCACCCCGTATGGATCCCGTGGGCTCTGCCAGTGCTGCTCTAACCCACACGTACGTGCGGTGTTCCAACCGGGCTAGCCCCGCACCGCAAGGCCCGTCGCTGGCCGCAGACCCGCCGGGAGCCACCTCGCTCACCATTCGGGCTCCGGTCACCGAGAGAACAGAGAGGCCCGTCAGGTGTGTTCAGGGCTGCCCCCTGCCAACGTGTCCTCGTCCGCGCTCCCCGGTGAGACACATGGGCCGTTAAAAACTCAACGCCACCGACAGGGGTCAGCAGCCCCCCCTCCCCGGGGCCCTGGCCCCGGCCCCCGAACCCTGGCACCGGAACCCGGCCCCAGACTTCGGCCCCCGGTCCCCCGGTCCCTGAACGCTGGCCCCGGACCCCGGACCCAGACCTCGGCCCCCGGCCCCAGACCTCGGCCCCCGAACCCCCGGGCCCGGCCCCCGGACCCCGAACCCTGGCACCGGCCCCCGGCCCCAGACCTCGGCCCCCGGTCCCCCGGCCCCTGAACGCTGGCCCCGGCCCCCGGCCCCAGACCTCGGCCCCCGAACCCTCGGACCCGGACCCCGGCCCCCCGGCCCCCCGCCCCTCGGCCCCCGGACCCCGGCCCCGGACCCCGGGCCCCCGCCCCGACTCGGCCCCCGGACCCCCGCCCCTCGGCCCCCGGCCGGCCGGACGCGGCAGGCGCACGCGGGCGGCCGGCCGGGACGGCGGAGGGCGGCGGCCTGCGTCTCCCTCCAGGTGCCGGGCGGGGACCAGAGAGGCCGGCCTCCGCGTTCGCCACAGCGCTGGGGGCCGCTGCCCGCCGGCGCCCTTAACGGAAGGAGGCGGGGTGGCGGCTGTGCAGCCGAGTGGGCGGGCGGCTGCGGAAACCACCGCCCAGCCGACGAGCGGCCCCGGGCGGCTCCGCGCTCGGGCGTGCGCGCTTCGGCGGCGGGCGGGGAGACGCGCCCGACTGCGGCCGGGTACGCGGGCGCCGCGGGGAGGCCGGAGCCCGCGGGTGCGCGAGAGCCGGCCCGGGCGGGCCGCGGAGCGAGCAGGGCAGGCGCGAGCGGAGGCCGGCGGCGGCGAGGCCCGGCGGGCGTGTGAGGGCGAGTCTGGGCGGCGTCGGGAGGAACCGGCGAGCGGGGAGGGGCGGAGGCGGGGGGAAGGGGGAGGAGGAAGAGCGAAGGGCCCTGGCGGGGCTCCCGGCGTCCAGCCGCCGGCGCCCCGGCCCTCAAGCCACCGCCCCCAGGCCCCGCGCTGACGCTGGACGGTCCCCGCCTCCAAACCCCCCGCCCCGGCCTGACAGTAACTTACCTGTTTGCCGACAGGATCGCTCCCGCTCGCCCCTACGACTGACTCCTCCGGCTCACCGTCTTCCCTCTGGGAGGAAGGGGCGGGACTTCCTGTCTTCCCGTCGAGCGACTTCCGGCGGCTCCCAGGACGACTCTGTCGTGAACCGATCGCCGGACACTACAGCCAAAACACAGCCTCTTGGGACTGGCGCAGTAAAACCCACGTCGAGCGCCCCATTTTTTGGTTGCCCCGAATGGCTAAGGGACCTGTGTACCGCCGTGTTTTCGGTACATCAGCTCCTGCCGGAAGTCCCTTGGAGATGAAGCCGGAAGTCCCTCCCTCCCCAAGAGAGGTAAACGGAAAGCGGAGGGACAGTGGTCCGGCTGGGAGGCTGGCGGTGTCTCACCGAGGGCCGGCGGAGGTTTGCGGAGGGTCCCCGGGCGGTCCCGCCCGCGCCGCCCCCCCCGGGTCCCCCGCTTCCCCCCTCGCCCGCCGCCGCCGAGAAGCGCGAGGCAGCGCGGGGGGAGCGGACGCGCCCTGGCCCGGACCGGCCCGAGGGTGCGCGGCGGCAGCGTGGGCCCTCCAGGTTGAGAGCAGCCGCCCGGGGACGCCGGACGGGGGCTCGCGGTCAGGGCCGCGGGAAGCGGCGCGCGGCGGAGCGGGCTGTACGAGCTGGCGGCCTGGGCGTTCCTGCGCGGACGGTGCGGGCCTCGGCGCGAGGAGGGACGGGAGGAAAGGAAGGCCCGACCGTGCGCGGGGCACCCGCGGGCCTCGCGTGGAGACCGGGACCTGGGGGACCGGGACCTGGGGCGGGCGGCGCGTCCCACTGGGGTCAGGCTGGAGATGCAGTGAAAGGGACAGAAATGATGACCTTACAGTCATAATGACGGGCTCCCCGCCCACATCCTCTGTCGATTCCGATTCCATCTCCGCGCTGTTAAAGTCGTAACAGTGAGGACAGAGGAGTGACTTCAACTGGTATGTGGCAGGAACTCTTAAAACATGCAGTGCCCTCGGCTGGTGTGGTCAGTGGACTGAGCAGCGTCCCATGGACTGAGGTCCCGGTCAGGGACATGCCCGGTTTCTGGCTTAGACCCCAGTAGGGGTCTTACAGGAGACAGCTGATGTTTCTCTCCATCTCCCTTTCTTGCCCTCTAAAAAATCAATAAAAACATACTTAAAAACATGCAACACCTGCGTCGTCAGGGGCACTGATCTCTTTCCCCTTAGATTGTCACATTAAAAAATGACCACAGCCAACACAACAATAGCTGCCCCGTCTGAATGAATCAAAATTATACCTATTATTTTTGTGTGTGTGTCAGATGGGGGAAAATGTATTTTTTGGTGTGTAGCAGAATTTTAGTAGTGCTGAGATGGAGAAGGTAAAGCGCTGGGACAGAGAGCTTGTTGACCTCTGAATTCTCATAATCCACAGGAGGAAGTGGCTGTCCAGAAGCCTCAGCCTCCCCGGATCTCACCGCTCGTAGAAGCGGGGCTCCACTCTACACCCCAGTCGGGCTTTTCCACTCTGCCACCCTGACTTAGTAATGATCAGCTCAAAGTTGTAGAGAAACATGGCGTAAAACTAGATTCTGTCTTCAGAGTTCCATTGAAATGTACTTGAAAATGTAGTGCTTATGAATACAATCTTTTAATGTCTTTCAACAGTGTCATTCTATGACAAGATGATAAATTTCTCAACAACAGTAGCTAGGGCAATTCGCCATGTGGGTTAGGCATTCTGTTGGTCTTCGGGTGATGAATCTTGCTCCCTTTCTCACCTTGGGGATTTAGTTAACATTTCATCTTTGAGCCATGAAGTCGAATCTGAGTTTATTTTTCAGTTCCATTATGCATTATTTTGCTGAGACAGGACCATTTACATCACATCGTCACCTTAAGAAAGTCAATTTAGCCTCATTTTCCTCGTGTAAAATGAGTCATTTAGGTTAAAGTTCCCTTCTTTTGAAATTCTATTAATAGAATAGGTTCTAAAATTTCTATATCATAGTAATAGGATATAATAATATTTTATTAAAGGACTTTGCTTCGTTGGGTAATACTAATGATAGCTGTTTATTAACTACCTACTATATAGTTCATGCAGTGCTCTAGAAAAACCCAAAAATGTAGGAAAACTTTGATAATGTTTTTCTGTGCCTCGTTAGGAAAATTTATATATACAAATATATATTCATTATATAAAAGAAGCCCCAGGGTTATTTATATAACCTTTATAAAATGTATATTTAATAATTATATTACATAAGTATTTACATATATAAAATCTTGGGGCTTTTTAAAAAATTATTTCTTACCCTGGCAGGTTTGGCTCAGTAGTTAGAACGTCAGCCTGCAGACCAAAGAGTCTTGGGTTTGATTCCTGGTCAAGGGCACATACCTCAGTTGCAGGTTTGAACCCCTACCTGGTCAGAGTCACGTGGAAGGCAACCAATTGATGAGTCCTCACATCAACGATTCTCTGTCTCCCTCTTTTCCTCCCACCCTTATCTAAAAAATATCAGTGGAAAATATCCTTGGGTGAGGAATAGGGAAAAAAAATTATTTCTCCCCACACCCTCATGTAGCTACAGGAAAAGAATTTTTAATTAACTTTTTATAGGGTTGCTATAAAGCAAGAGTAGTCCATCACTTCTCTAACTTCTGTCTAGCATTTGAAGGGATGGAGGCCCCAGTGATGGGAGGCCAAGCACCTTCTCTGGACTGAGATGGCAGACCAGCCAAATGTAGGGTGTTCATGTGAATTTCATGGAGCCCATGGGGTGGCTGGCTCCAAGGCTTCATTCCTTCCTTTGACGACCGAGCTGTTGAACCTCCCAATCCACCACTTTTCTCTGAAATGCAGCTTCTCCACCCATTGTCTTTGAACTCTGCTCTCTACATTGACATGTTTTCTAGTACTGCAGACAAGTTTTCTTAAAGCGCTGTTTATCCTTGCTAATGCCTCGCTTGCTAATGCATTATCTTAGATTGCTCCAATGGGGGGGGGGGGGCGTATCTGGATGATACAAATTCTACATTATAGTTTTACCTACAGAGTTGGAGCCCTTCCCAAGGGTTAGGGGTGGGACCACCACTGAATTGAGGATTATCCTCAAACCTCTCTGCCACAGCATAAGAAGGTCTGGGTTATAGTTCTTTGCAACAAATTAACCTAAAGAAAATTGCATAATTATGACATTCAATTTTCAATTCAAGTGTGTGGATTTATCAGGGTGTGCTCAGTGTGTATTATGCCCTCCACATTGCCCTACCCATCAACAATTCCAGTGAATGAGACAGAATTAGCCAATGAGTAGGTACTACGTTTGAATCAGAGAAACCTAATGGAATTTTAGGGAAAATGACGGCTATCACACATAATTGGTGGAAGAGATGATTTAAACCATTTAAATTTTCATATTTATCCCAATACTTAAGCATTATGAAGAACTCAGATTTCCCAATACAAATTGATAGGTTGCTGCCTTCATCGAGTTTAGTTTTAAACTGCTGGTCTTGAACAAAAGTAAATATAATATGGAACAGTCATTACTATCCACTCAGAGAGCCAACTCAGTTCCGTTACAATGGTGCCATCTCTCCAACCACCCAACGTCCCTAGGTCCCTTGTTTCCTGTTGGGAGTTTCCATTGTTCTGATTAAGGACTGATTTTCTGATTCTAGGTGAAATTCAGAGCGAGGATTTCCCTGCCGAGTCACTTCTGCACAGCTGCCTGATGGAGGCCTAGTGCTGTCAGTGAGACAGCCAGCCGGGTCAGGCCTCAGGCACAGCCAGCCCTGCGGGAGCTTCCTGTTTGCATTCGCCAGAAGGAAAGCCCTGTGATTATCTCTCAGATTTTATTGTGCTTGCACCAAGAAGCAACTTAAGTGATACAGAAGGATCATTACCAAATCTATCATGGCCGCAGTCTAAGAAAGTAGATTGTAAGCGAAAAACTCAGGGCGCTTTCAAGCTTCATAAGTAAAAAAAAAAGAAAGGTAGCCGGGCCGGTGTGGCTCAGTGGTTGAGCGTGGACCCATGTACCAAGAGGTCAGCAGTTCAATTCCCGGTCAGGGCACATGCCCAGGTTGTGGGCCAGATCCCCAGTGGGGGGCGGTGCAGGAGGCAGCCAATCAATGTTCTCTCTCATCAGTGTTTCTATCTCCCTTTCCACTCTCTCTAAAATCAATAAAGAAAAAAAAATTTTTTTTAATGTGTACTCTATTGTATTTGAGGGGAAAAAATCAATCAATAGATTTACATCATTTTCTAGATTTACATCATTGTCATTTCTTCCATTAGATAATGAATAGTAAACACTTTTACTATAGCAGGTTAAAACATTAAAAGGAGAGTGTACAGCCCTGGCCAGTGTGGCTTTGTGGTTAGAGTGTTGGCCTGCTGACCAAAAGATCCCAGGTTGATCCCTAGTCAAGGGCATACACCTGGGTTGCAGGTTTGATCCCCCCCGCCCTGGTCAGGGTGCATGTGGGAGGCAAGCAATTGATGTGCCTTTCTCACATCGATGTTTCTCTCAATCTCTCTCTCCTTCCCTTCCACACTTTCTGAAAATTAATGGAAAAATATCCTTGGGTGGGGATTTAAAAAAAAATAATAATAATGTACAACAAAAGATATACCAACTTCCATAAATGCCAGGCATTATGCTAAAACCTTAAATGCACTATCTCACTCTAAATTGGGATGTTATTTTCATGTGACAGGTAAGAAAAATGAAGCTCAAAGTAATGTTATGTTCTCTGGTTCTGTCCATATTGGATAACGTTGGTGACTGTCTTCCCCTCTCCAATTTCCCAAACTTCTCACACTTACACTCCTCCTACCAATCAGCCCCTGTGGCTGGGATGTAGTCCCAATAAAGAGGCCTCCTAGGAGGAGGGAGATAGCTGTCCCCATTCTTTTTTTCTCTTGAATGTCAATGAAATTAATATTATGCATGATGCATTGAAGCTGTCTTTTTTGTTTGTTTTCTTTTTTCTCTCTCTGACCTGAAAATTGGATAATTTCTATTGATCTATCTTATATGTTCCCTGATTCTCCTGTCATCTCCAAACATCTGTTCAAAGCTGCTAGTGATTATTTTTCGTATTTCTTTGTGGTTAAGCTACATTACTTTTCTTTTGACTGTGAGTCCTATTCTCCTCTTTCTTAAATGTCTAGTAATTTTGATTTGTATCTTAGACATCTGAGTAATAGAATGTAGAGATTCTGAATTCAGTTATGTTGCTCCAAAGAGGCCGATTGTTGTTGCTGTTTTAACAGACAGTTATTAGCCTGAGCTGGGAGGGTTAAATCTGCCTCACACGTGCATGGTTCAGAGGCCGTCCAGAGATGTAGGCAGATTGTGCAAAATTTGGTGATTCCCCTTTGCGACTCTCCTTTCTAGAACCTTCCTCCCCTCACTTTGTGCTGATGTAATAGGCCTGAGCTCTTGCCTTCCGGCTCTTCAAGAGGGTTTTAAGCAAAGTTTAGATAACCTCCTTTATCTGATTATAATTATATAAAATATGAAAAGAACCATCGGCCGTTTTGGTGACTAATTTTTGATGACTAATTTACTTTAATAGTGTCCTTTGAAGTTCTTATTTCCTGGAGGTTGGCATTTTCTATCATTACATTCAAATGCCTACCTACAATAACAGTGACGGTAGGCTGTGAACCCTTAACAGCCCACACTAGAATTTTAAATATAAGTTCTTTTTAATGTCTTTTGGTGAATTTCAATGTGGGAGGTGAAATGATTTAAAACTTCATATTTTCTGTTATAATCAAAGGCATAATTTCTCTGACATCTTTTCTGATTCTGAATAAGAAATTACACTAGAACCATGTTTTTAAATATAATCTCTCCACATAATGACAATGTTTTTTCTCTTCAATCTACCCAAACTTAAAAAGCTCAGAAGCATTTATTTACTTACCATTAACTGTTAAGAGATTACAGTCATTACACCTGCCATCTATTCTCCTTCACATCGTGCTGAAAGGAAAAGAAACATCTCTTCACTGCAGAAAAGTTCCTGTGTTTCTGCCTTTGTCCTTCAATCGACTGAGCCTTTGGATAACTGAGCAGAGTGTAGAATGTACCCAGCCCAGCCCCTGCCTCCCAGAGCTGGCTTACTAGAGAGGAAAGGTCCTCTCAAGACAGTGAGGAGGAGGGTAATCTTTCTCAGGTGTTACGTGTTCTACAAAGTAGAAGGCAGGCGTTACTGAGTTGGTCAATGGAAGCACAGACAGAAAATGTACTGTCAGGTCCTGGTTTAATTTGTATTGCTTGTCGCCCTGTCTGGGTAGCTCAGTTGGTTAGGGCATTGTCCTGATACGCCAGGTTGTGGGTGCAATCTCCAATCAGGGCATGTATAAGAGTCAACCAATGAATGCATAAATAAGGAACAACAAATCAGTGTTTCTCTCTCTCTCTCAAAATCTATAAATAAGTAAAAATTTAGTTTTATTGCCCATCATATAAGGCAGTGCTATGGTGTTACAGATGACATGACTACTAGATCTAACCATAGGTGCATTATCACAGAAACAAATATCTTCATCTTATATAATCAAGACCTCAAATCATCATTTAATCTTTTAGCTGTTACATGTGCAATTAATATTCAAACTTGAACTTAAAAGTAATATTAATAAATAATAGCTAGATAGCATTGAATACATTTAAAACTAGATATTTAAAATAGTATAGTATTTAAAAGTCATTTGGCCTGATCATAAAATGGAGTTTGGGGACTTGTTTTTTTTTTAAGAGAGAGTGGAAGGGAGAGGGAGAGAGAAACATCGACAAGAGAGAACCGGCGACCTCTAGGTGCATGGGTCAAATGCTCAACCACCGAGCCACACCTGCTGGGCGAGACTTGTTTTTTAGGTGAGAAAGTAGCTATCAGTAGAAGTGAGAAGCCAAATAGTAAGCATTATTTTTTTCTTTCATGACCTGCTTTCTTATTCTACTTCTAAGATGTCAGTTGTGCACATATCACAGGCCACGCACTGTGCTGAGCACAGCCTCAGCTCAGCGGGTTGTCGCCCTGCGGGAACCATGGTCAGTGTTGCCCAGCCTTCCGATTGTGCAAGAGAAGTCGTTTGTGTGAAGCTTGCCAATTTTCAAATGCTGCCATCCAATTCAGAAGTCCTCTGGACACTGGAGGCCACAGGAAACAAGGTGAGGAGCCTTGTGGGGCTCCCAGGCTGCTGGCTTGTGTTCCCTGAACTCAGGCATGACCCTGTGCAGACACAGGTGCTGCCTGGGAGGGTACACACGAGCTGTCATCAGACAGTGGCACCTCCACATGGCCTGTTTCATGTCCTTTCCCAGGCCTACCTGCTCCCAAGACGGTCTCAACAAGGAACAGTGTGAGGGGAAGAGCATAAAGATCGAAGTCCAGGTGGGAGAGCAGGCAGGGACACCCCAAAAGTTGCCGCTGCAGACTCAAACAGGAGATTTGAGCAGGAAATATTGAGTACCTACTGTGTGCAGTGCACTCTGCTGGGTCCCTGAAGTACAGAGCCTGGTTGGAAATGGGATCTGATGTTATGGAGCTTAACGTTTAATTAAATGATGGGGAGGCGTGGCCACCTGTCAATGGATCACACAGGTGTGGAGATCTTCATTAATGTATCATAAATGTTTCCTGAAGACCCGCGACATGCTTGGGACTTCGGAGACACCACGATAGACAGAACAGACATGGCCTGCCCCTAGGGGGGCTGGCTGTTTCTTCGTTGTACAGATATGGACTTAAATACAGTAACAGTATCAAATGGTACAACAGAACTTCAGAGACCGAGGGACACCTCTTCACCAAGAGGGACACCCAACTCCCTCCGGGGAATCAGAAAAGGTACAGCTAAGCTGAGATGGTGGGAGATGAGCCAGACCAAGAGGGGAGGCCACGAGCCAGGGGCAGGCAGGAGAAGGCCCCGGGGCGGCTGAGCTTTGGGTCTGAGAAACCGGAAGGCCTGGAAGGGTGGGGCGTCGGGGTGAGAAGTGAGGCAGAGGACCGACGGCCAGAGGAGAAGGCTGAGGACAGAGCGGGCCACTCAGCGGGCCACTCGAGACCCTGACGAGGGGGCTTCCACCTCAGGCCAGCTGGCCACTCCCGGTTCTGAGCGGGCGGGAGGGACACGCAGTGTGACAGGGTCACTGGGGAGGTCGGCCAGCTGAGCAGAGGTTAGAGAGGGGCTTCTGCAGTAACCCCCCCCCAAATGTAGAGGGTTTGGCACACGGCCCTGCAGGCGGCAGCGGGATGGGAGGACGCGGTAGCTTCTGAGAAATGGAGCCGCCTGGTCCTGACACGGAATTGAACCTGGGAGAGGAAAGTGTCCCAGAGGACTCAGGATCTGACGGTCCATTTACCGAGGCAGGGAGCCCGGAGGGGAAGCGGGTTGGGGAGGACGGGTGAAAGTTTCCATCTGGGAGAAGAATCGAGTTGCAGGTTCTCAGGAGATGGCATCTGGCTGGCATAAAGTAGGGAGGGTGCACGGGAGGAGGTGCAGGGTGAGAAAGGCGGGGGCAGGCCCTCTGTGTGCCCCGGTGCCCGGCCCTCCTCGGGCCTAAGTGGACATGTGCATCATCGACCGGGCTGGCACTGCCCACTGCACGGGCACACACAGTTTCCCAGCCGGTACACTTTTCATTAACACAACATGAAGCCAAAAGCATCGCCAGTCCTCAGTGTTTTCCATAAGAGCATCTACCGAATCTAGTTGACAGTCATGACCCCTCACCCCGATACATCACCTCTGCCAGGACAGTGAGTTCCCCCTGGTCGAGCTGGCACATGCCCAACAAGTATAGTGGGTGCTTTTTACCCATGTGCATGTATTTCTTTTGCTATTGTTGTTATTCCTCACCTGAGGGTATTAGATAGAGGGGGATGGAGGGAGGGGGAGAGAGAGAGAAAGAGAGGGAGAGAAACATCGATGTGAAAGACATCAGTTGGTTGCCTGCCGCACAACTCTGACCAGGGCCAGGGATCGAATTTGCAACCCAGGTACGTGCCCTTGACCAGGAATCAAACCCACGACCCTTTGGTTCACAGGCCCACACTCTAACCGCTAACCAAACCAACCAGGGCAATGCATATATTTCTTCAATAAAATTCTTAAAGCAAATATTTAGATGTCTCCATCCTCAACTTCTTTGTCTTCTCACATCTAGTTAATTCGTCTCCTGGCCAGTAACTGCGTAGGTTTCTCTTACCTCTCTGAATGTAACCAACCTGGGAGATGCTTCCTTTCTGGCTCCCCTATCACAGCAGGACCTGGGCTGGCTCGAGGCCAGGTGAAAAGTCCACGGGGACCTATGAGAGTTGGGGTGATGGGAGGCAGAAAGACATGGGCTCTGGACTCGGGGATCCTGGGGTTGGAATCTCCTAGATCCAAGGACCTCCTTCGTCCTCCTCCGTTCTCACCTGGTGGCAGGGCTCAGACTCCGCCGAAGTGAAGGTCAAGGAAAACATCTCATGTTATTCGGTGACTTGGTAAAACTGGTGCTACACTGCTCAGAAGGGGTTACAGCATATTTCACAACCAGCTTTTGTTCATTGACTTATCTGAACACCCTTTAAAAAATATAAATTAGCATCAAAGACCTCTAGCACAGTTAGTTCTTGGAACCGCTGCCAGATACGTCAGGTAAGACCCACAAAATCCAAAACATCACAAGACCATGCAATCCGGCGAGCGCAAACCAACCTCAACATCAAAGAATATGAAACGTCTACCACCGCTCAGCCGCCAGGACTTGATGTTCTCTAAGGCAGAGAAATGGACCCTTTGCGCGTGCCCCCACCAGGCTGAGGCCCCCGTGGGGCCCCCTTTCTGTGACCAGTCCGGGTAAGTTGGATCCCTAGCCCCATGGTCCAGTCATTTCAGGCGTGATGCAGTCATTGTTAACACTGACATTTCAAGAACCCACAGAGGGATGGGATGCTCTGTTTATATTTGGAATCATAAGAGGAAAATGTTTAATAGACCCTTAAAGTCTTCTCCATTAATGTGATTTAGGTAATGAATGCATAAAGATTGAATTGATTTGTTTACATGCACGCAACCTCAGGAAAATTACATTCTTGTTTGTTTGTTGTTTGTTTACCCCATCAAATCCAATCAGGCAAACAGGATGGTTGGCTGACATGATTAATGAGTGCACACTAGCTGATGACTTGAAACACAGAGCATGTTCCTGATGTCAGGGCTGATTAGTTCTCAGTCCATCACCGATGCTATTAAAAGCTCTGAACAATGTAGTCATTGAGGAAAATTCCAGTGGGCTGAGCCAACCATCCGGATAGATTCTGCAGTGGCGAATGTACATGTTGGGGACAGAGTGGCCTCTACTGGTGGGGAGGAAGAAAGAGCAGAAATCGGGAGGGTGGAGTCGGCTGGCATCCGTCACATCAAAGGTGCAGAGGCTGGGGATAAAAAAGGACCCGTCCTCACACGAAGAATCCCAAGTGGCATGAGGCTATGAACAGTGATCACTTCTGTTTCGGGGCTTTTCAGAAGCAGGGGGAATGAAGGGTACGCAACAGGGCAACATGGCATCGTGGTCTAGTGACTCCGTTAAAAATGGACCCACAGGGAGATCATGGTGGTCAGTGGTGGAGACCGACGTTTTATTAATGAGATAAAAGGGAAATGTGGTACAAGCAAGGGTGGGGTGAGTACCGACAGGCCCCGCATGGAACGATTCTGTCGTGAGTACTTCTGGACCTAGTGACGCCCCGGCAACTGCGGGGGGAGGTCTAATCAAAGAATCGTCCTTGGGCGCGAAGGGCAAAATGAGTGCAATCCTGGGTTACTGCAGCTGGGCTCGGGGAGATCGAGTGGACAAAGGCAGCTGTGATTTAGACAGGTGTGCAACGGGGACATTAAACCACTCCCAGTGTCTGTACCTTTACGATATCATATTACTGGGCCAAATGTCCAAAGATAAATGGGAGGGAAAACGTTATTTTCTGGACCAAAACCCTCTGGATACTCAGCTTCCATTCCTGTCCAGGTGTGGGAGAGGGGGTCAGTTGGCAGGTTGGAGCTAAGGGGAGGTTCCTGCCACTTCCTGCAGCTGAACCATCTCTAGGAAAAAGGCAGCAACTAATTTGGATCCTTCTATGTAGTTCCGCCTGATGAGAGAAGTAAAGAGAAACACTTATTTCCATTCAAATGACGGAGGATGGGGAGGTTTAAACAGGACGATTTGAGGGCATACATTCAGTCTAAAGTGCGCAGCATGCTGGGAGGTTACCGATGAGCAGGTCTGGCGTTGGGCAGTGAGGGCAGAGCCCCACAGACCCTACCTGTTGATTTTCTCATTCTGAGAGTGCTCCCCGTCGTCAACGGCACCCAGGGGAAGCATCACCACACTCTTCTGGATAATATCCTGGAAGGTTTTGGCAATTGGTATGGTTGATCCATCCCGGATCATATCTGGTTCTGTTCCAAACACTAAAACAGGGAAAGAAGGCATCTGAATAACATAACGACAAGACTGTGCCCAGTAATCACCAGTAGATCCGGTTTGTAGGGGAGGTAAGCTTCTTGCTATCATGCAATTTATGTTCTAAAATAGTCGACAGCATCCATGCCCCAGCTAGTGTGGCTCAGTTGGTTGAGCGTCATCCTCTGCATCTAGAGGTCATGGTTCGATTCCTGGTCAGGGCACATGCCCAAGTTTCAGGCTCGATCCCCAGTAGGGGGCGTGCAGGAGGCAGCTGGTCAATGTTTCTCTCTCCTTCTCCCTTCCCCTCTCACTCTAGAATCAATAAAAACATATTTAAAAGATAAAAATAGATAATAGCATCCGGAAGAAAACTGTGGTTGCCTTCTTTACAATTATCTACTTTTTAAAAAATATTAATTTTTTTTTATTTTGAACTAATTTCAGACTTACAGAAAGTTGCAAAAATACTAGAGTTCCCATGTACCCCTAACTCTTCTTCCCCTAATGTTAACATCTTATGTAACTATTGGGCAATTATCAAAAATAAGAAGTTAAAGTTGGAATAATATTATTAGACTCTAATCTTATTTGAATGTCAATGCCTTTTGTCATTGCTTCTCAGTCTCCTATTGTCTGTGACAGTTTCTCAGTCTTTCCTTGTCTTTCATGACCTTGAACCTCATGCCTGATTGGTTTTATAAAATGTTCCTCAATTTACCCTGGCAGATTTTGCTCAGCAGTTAGAGCATCAGACCAGAGCTGCAGGATCAATTCCGGTCAAGGGCACATACCTCGTACCTCGGTTGCAGTTCATCCCTGGACCTGGACAGGGTCATGCTGGAGGCAACCAGTCAATGTGTCTCTTTCACATTGATGTTTCTCTCTTTCTCTCTCTCTCTCTCCCTCCCTCCCTCTCTCCATCCCTTCCACTCTATCTGAAAATCAATGGAAAAATATCCTTGGGTGAGAATTAAATTTTTTTTAAATGTTTCTCAATTTGGGTCTGCCTGTCTTCTCATAATTGGAAGAGGTCATGCATTTTGGGGAAGAGTAGCACAGATGACGCACCTATTTTTATGGTTGTTTCATGAATTAAATATTAGGAAAGTGGAGCTTAGTTGTTTGGTGGTTTTTTTTTTGTAAACAATATATAAGTAAATCGCTATAGTCAACCATCACCTGCCTGTCTCACATTTGTGCTCAGATTTCGGTGTATCCCATGTAATAGTTTAATGGCTATCCTACGGTCTGGGGATAGAGTCCACACCTTCCAGGCTAGAGGACAAGTTGCCTGTGATGGAGATGGAGTGGGAACAAAAAATAAAACAAAGACAGAGGAGAGAACACACCTGGTGGCTTTGACCTGCAGAGCAAGGTGTGCACGTGAGCAGCGATGATGCACTTTGTAGTTTGGCACGAAGAGACCAAAAAGTGGCTCGTGCACTCCTACAGAGCATCTGGGGTCTTTATCGCTGACCTTGACATTTCAGTCATCCATCTCTCTTCAGCTGGCATTCCATTCACCCACTACCCTGTCTTCCTCTGTTCCCCCCTCTCACACTTTACGGGTGAGACACTGCTGGGCAGTGGGCATGACATGGAGAAGGACGCTGCATGTCTGGGCTTGCCCTCCAATTTTCGGGGCCTGTGTCTCTTGTGCTGATAACCCTCAGAGAGTCGGTCCTCCCGGGAGGTCTGGACCTCAGACTCCAGCTCTGCGATCGTCAAGGGCATGGCCTCAGGCTCCCTCGGTAGCACGGGAGTCCCTCCGTATCCGCGGCTGCACTTTCCGAGACCCCAGTCACCCATGGTCAACCAAAGTCGGATAATATTAGATGGGAAATTCCAGAAATATGCCGCGCCTCCATCATTCACACTTCCTCTGGTCGCATAGGCATTCTGTCATGCCCGTCACCACCAGAAGTGGGAGCACAGTATAAGATGTTTGAAAGAGAGAGACAGCGTTCACAGGAGTGTGACCAAGAGTCCTGCACAGGTCACAGTAATCCCCCAGTGTCAAAAGGACGTCGATACTGGAGTTTTGTTTTTGTTTTTTTATTATCCTCACCCAAGGACATTTTTCCATTTTTTGTTCATGTAGAGTGGGAGGGAGAGAGAGGAACAGAGAGAGAGAGAAACACATGGAGTGGCTGCCACCCACACTACTGACCAGAGCCGGGGACAAACTGCAACCGAGGTACGTGCCCTTAGCGGGAACCGAACCCGGGTCTCTCCGGACCGCAGGCCGACGCTCCAACCACTGAGCCAAACCGGCCAGGGCGATACTGGAGTTTTAAATGTGTCTGCTTTATCCACAGGCCCCCATCCCAGGCACCACCCCTCGGTCCCATTGTAAACCGGCAATTCGAGATATCTTAGGTCCCACCTGTTTTGATAGCTCTTTCTGCTGCGAGATACTGAGGATCTTTAATATTTGCAATCCATGGGTGTAGCCCCAGCACCATAGAAACAGCCATCTGGTTGGAACTATTTCTTTGGGCGAATATATACTGGAGATGCTGTTTCACCTAAAAGGTAATGTTTTGAGTTGTAAGAGAAAATTCTGAGTTCCTCCCTCAGACCACTATGAACTTCCATGAAGAAACTGTGAAACCCCAACCCAACACATCCAAGGGTTGTGATTCGACCTTGGTTCTGTGGAGGGGTGATGGCCCAGCAGCAGGGTCCACAGGACAAGGTTCACCCAGTGGGAGAAACACTTGCTCTCACCCCTTCTCTCCCCAGACCCCCCCCCCCTCCTGACCACAGGTCTGATGCTGCTGTTCGCTGGTTATGACTCTAGTCACCAGGAAACCTTGAATGGTGTTATGGATCACGTGAACATGATGAGCGTTGAGTGATTATGAAACACAGCTTCTCAATCTGAACACCCCGCTCTTTGGACTCACTGCCCTTCGTGGCTGTTTCGAGAGCAACCCCACCCTGAGACGAGAAGGACCTTGTCAGCCCCCTTCTGTGTCCCGGCTCCGCTCCGGTCACCACTGTGGCAATCACCCCGAGAAGAACTCCGCAGTCTGAGATCTTTCTTCCACTCAACTTTCCATCAACCTTTATAGAACACCTGTCATGCGGCAAGAACTGTCCGAGGTGCTGGGGACGGACCCCTGAGCCCGATGGGCAGGACCCCACCCCTGGGGAGTGTGTGCTGAGGAAGGGGGCGGAAGGGGGTGGCCAGGGGTAGTCTTTTAGAATGAAAGTATCACACAGGAAACAGTAACGGAGGCAGGTAGGGTAGAGAGGGTCGGGACCAAGTATTTCTTGAGCTCGTTTGTTCAACTTTCTGTTAAACTTGAGGTAAACTGATGACAGGTGGGTACTTTAAACATATAACTCCTGGACACAAATGGAGGGGAGAGAAAAATGGGGGCGGAGTGAATGGAGCTACACAGACCATCTCCCAGGACCAAACTGGAATCACAACAAAAATAAAGACAAATCATCAGGAAGGGGCAACCAAAAGACAGCCTGGAGGACCACATGACCAGGGACACTGACTCAATCCTGGTAGGCTTGCGAGGACGCGAGAGGGGGCCGGGAGCCCACGGTCCACAGCAGCCTGGGCTGGGACCAGCGGACTCAGCTGTAAGCGGCGCCCTCGGCTGGGTCCTGCGCCCTCGGCTGGGTCCGGCGACCGCGGCTGGGTCCTGCGACCTTGGCTGGGTGCTACGCCATTGGCTGGGGCCAGCGGACTCGGCTGTAAGCTGCGCCCTCGGCTGGGTCCTGCAACCTCGGCTGGGTGCTACGCCCTTGGCTGGTGCTGCAGACTCGGCCGCCCTTAGCTGGGAGCAGCGCCCTCGGGTTAAAGTCCCAGGCGGCTCCACAGTGCAGAGCCGGGACAGAGGCTAAATTGGCAGCAGCCACTCACCTTGGGCTCCTGCAGAGGAAGGGCAGACTGGACTGGAACTGTGTGAGGACACTCGGGATTTGGAGGGCGCTCAGAGCTTTTGCTGAGTGCAGCCACACGGGACTGTGATCATCTTACTCCTTCCCAGGGCCCTGGGGAGAGGCAGCAGCCCTCCCTCAGAGATTCAACCCCACCCGATGGCCATTGAAATGCTAATTGAGGCCCATTAACAACCAACATCTGCCCCACCCTCAGGAAATCCTTTTACACTGAGCACCTGAGGGAGTTTTTCAGTCAACTCAGAAACCAAGGTTCTTCAGGTGACCACTACTAATAGCCTCCAGGCAAAAAAGCTAGAGGATAACTACCATTCCCTGAGCTAGCAACTCTAACCAGGAAAGTAAGGACATGAGCACCATGAGTAAAGACATAGAAATGTTGAAAATCAACCAGTTGGAAATTAAAAACCACCAGTAAATTAGAAGACAGGGAAGAAAAAATCAACCAATCAGAAAACCAAAAGGAAAAAACTATTAAAAAACAGGAAGACAGCTTAAGAGAACTGTGGGACAACTGGAAACAGAATAATATTCGCATCATAGGAGTCCCTGAAGAAGAAGAAAATGACCAAGGGTTAGAGAATATATTCAAAGAAATAGTGACAGAAAACTTCCCTAATTTGGTGAAGGAAGAAGGCATTCAAGTTCAAGAAACACAAAGAGCCCCAAGTAAGAAGAACCCAAATAGGCCCACACCAAGACACATAGTAATCAAACTGCCAACAATTAAAGACAAAGAGAGAATCCTAAAAACAGCAAGAGATAAGCAACAGGTTACCTACAAAGGAAACCCCATAAGGCTCTCAGCTGACTTTTCACAAGAAACACTACAGACCAGAAGGGAATGGCATGAAATAATCAAGGTCATAAAAAATAAGGATCTGGATCCAAGACTACCCAGCAAGGCTATCATTCAAAATAGAAGATCAAATAAAGAGCTTCCCAGACAAAAAAAAAAAAAGGCTAAGGGAATACATTAGCACCAAACCAGCACTGCAAGAAATGTTAAAAGGACTGCTGTAATTAGCAGGAGAACAAAAACGGCAATAAATAAGTACATATCAATAATCACCTTAAATGTAAATGGCTTAAATGCTCCCATAAAAAGACACAGAGTAGCTGATTGGATAAGAAAGCATGACTCATCTATATGTTGTTTACAAGAGACCCACCTCACAACAAAAGACTCATATAGGTTGAAAATGAAGGGATGGAAAAAAAATCTTCCAAACAAACGGAAAGGAAAAAAAAGCTGGGGTAGCAATACTCATATCTGATAAAATAGATTTCAAAATGAAGGCCATAACTATCAGAGACTAAGAAGGCCACTACATAATATTGAAAGGATCTATCCAACAGGAAGATATAGCCTTGATAAACATATATGCACCCAATATAGGAGCACCAACATATATTAAAAATCTTCTAGAAGCCCTGGCCAGTTTGGCTCAGCGGTTAGAGCATTGACCTGCGGTCCTGAGAGACCTGGGTTCGGTTCCCGCTAAGGGCACGTGCCTCGGTTGCAGTTTGTCCCCGGCCCTGGTTGGGTTGTGTGGGTGGCAGCCACTTGATGTGTCCCTTTCGCATTGATGTTTCTCTCTCTCTCCCTCCCACTCTATCTGAACAAAAAATGGAAAAAATGTCCTCGGGTGAGGGAAAAAAAAAAAATCTTCTAGAGGACTTCAAAGGAGAAATCGATAGCAATACAATCATAGCAGGGGACTTTAATACCCCTCTGACATCACTGGATAGATCCTCTAGACAAAAAATTGGCAAGGAAACAGAGACTCTAAATGAAGCAGTAGACCGAATGGATTTAATAGATATCTACAGAGAATTACACCCCAAAACTACAGAATTCACATTTTTCTCAATTGCGCATGGGACATTCTCAAAGATAGACCACATGTTAGGGCACAAACTAAGTCTCTACAAGTTCAAGAAGACTGAAATCATATCAAGCCTCTTCTCAGATCACAATGTCATGAAACTAGAAATCAATTGCAAGAAGAACATACAAAGACATTTGAATACATGTAAGCTAAATAGCATGCTATTAAACAATGAATGGGACCCCGAGGAGATCAAGGAAGAAATAAAAAACTTCCTGGAAAGCAATGAAAATGACTACACAACAACACAAAATCTATGGAATACAGCGAAAGCATTTCTGAGAGGGAAGTTCATAGCACTACAGGCCTACCTCAAAAAACAAGAAAAATTTCTAATAGACTATCTAACCTCACAACTTAAAGAACTAGAGAGCAAACAAAAAGAAAACCCCAGAGCAAGTAGAAGGAAGGGAAATAGTAAAGATCAGAGTAGAAATAAACGACATAGAAACCAAAAAAACAATTCAAAGGATCAATGAAACAAAGAGCTGGTTTTTCGAAAAGATAAACAAGATTGATGGTCCCTTAGCTAGACTCACCAAGAAACAAAGAGAGAAAACCCAAATACACAAAATCAGAAATGAAAGAGGAGAAGTAACAACTGACACCACAGAAATACAAAAGATCATTAACAACTACTATGAACAATTATATGGCAACAAATTGACAATCTAAGCGAAATGGGCAAATTTCTAGAAACACATAGTCTCCCAAAACTGGATCAGGAAGAGATAGAAAACTTGAACAGACCAATAACAACAGAAGAAATTGAAGATGTAATCAAGACTCTCCAGCAAACAAAAGCCCAGGCCCAGATGGCTTCACGAGGGAGTTTTACTGAACATTCAAAGAAGAACTAACACCCATTCTCCTCAAACTATTTCAAAAAATTCAAGAAGAAGGAAGACTTCCAAACTCGTTCTGGAAGACTTCCAAACTCGTTCTATGAAGCCAGCATAATTCTAATTCCAAAACCACAAAAGACACTACAAAGAAAGAAAACTACAGGCCAATATCCCTGATGAACATAAATGCCAAAATCCTGAACAAAATACTAGCAAATGGGATCCAGCAATACACCAAAAAAATTATCCACCATGACCAAGTGGGATTCACCCCAGGGTTGCAAGGCTAGTACAATATTCGCAAATCAATAAACGTGATACACCACATAAATAAAATGAAGAATAAAAACCGCATGGTCATATCAATAGATGCCGAAAAAGCCTTCGACAAAATCCAGCATCCATTTCTGATAAAAATGCTCAGCAATGTGGGAATAGAGGGATCATATCTTGACATAATAAAGGCCATATATGAAAGACCTACAGCCAACATCATACTCAATGGGCAAAAACTAAAAGCATTTTCCTTAAGAACAGGAACAAGGCAAGAATGCCCACTTTTGCCACTCTTATTTAACATAGTACTGGAAGTCTTAGCCACAGCAATCAGACAGGAAGAAAAAATAAAAGGGATCCAAATGGGAAAGGAGGAAGTGAATCTGTCATTATTTGCAGATGACATGATACTATACGTAGAAAACCCCAAAGACTCCATCAAAAATTTACTATACTTGCCCTGGCCGGTTTGGCTCAGCGGTTAGAGCGTCAGCCTGTGGTCCACAGAGACCCGGGTTCGGTTCCCGCTAAGGGCATGTACCTTGGCTGCAGTTTGTCCCCGGCCCTGGTTGGGTCGTGTGGGTGGCGGCCACTTGATGTGTCCCTTTCACATCGATGTTTCTCTCTCTTCCTCTCTCTCTTTCCCGCTCTATCTGAGTAAAAAATGGAAAAATGTCCTCGGGTGAGGATAAAAAAAAAAAAAAAAAATTTACTATACTTAATAAATGAATTTGGAAAAGTAGCAGGATACAAAATTAACATCAAGAAATCGATGGTATTCTTGTACACCAATGATGAACTCACAGAAAGAGAAACTAAGAAAACAATCCCATTTACCATTGCGGCAAAAAAATTAAGATACCTAGGAATAAACTTAACCAAAGAAGTAAAGGACCTATTCACAGAAAACTACAGGACATTGAAACAAGAAATAGAGGAAGATATAAAATAGTGGAAGCACATACCCTGTTCATGGATTGGAAGAATTAACATCATTAAAATGTCCATATTACCCAAAGCAATCTATAGATTCAATGCAATCCCCATCAAAATACCAACAGCATACTTCACAGAGTTAGAACAAATACTTCAAAAGTTCATATGGAACCAAAAAAGACCTCGAATAGCCATAGCAATCTTGAAAAAGAAGAACAAAGTTGGAGGGATCACATTACCAGATTTCAGATTACACTACAAAGCCACTGTAATCAAAACAGCCCGGTACTGGCACAAGAACAGGCATATAGACCAGTGGAACAGAACAGAGAACCCAGAAATGGACCCAAGGCAATATGCTCAATTAATATTTGACAAAGGTGGCAAGAGAACACAATGGAGTAAGGACAGCCTCTTTAATAAATGGTGTTGGGCCCTGGCTGGTTTGGCTCAGCGATTAGAGCGTTGGCCTGCAGTCCTGAGAGACCCGGGTTCAGTTCCCGCTAAGGGCATGTACCTCGGTTACAGTTTGTACCCGGCCCTGGTTGGGTTGTGCGGGTGGCAACTACACGATGTGTCCCTTTCACGTCGATGTTACTCTCTCTCTCTCCCTCCCTCCCACTCTATCTGAACAAAATATCAAAAAATGTCCTCGGGTGAGGATAAAAAACAAACAAACAAACCAATAAAAATAAAAAATAAATGGTGTTGGGAAAATTGGACAGCTACATGCAAAAAAATGAAACTAGACCATCAACTTATACCCTACACAAGAATAAAATCAAAATGGATAAAAGACTTAAATGTGATTCATGAATCCATAAAAATCCTAGAAGAAACTGTAGGCAACAAAATTTCAGACATCATACGCAGCAGAATTTTCACTGATACATCACCTAAGGCAACAGAAACAAAGGAGAAAATGAACACATGGGACTACATCAAACTCAAAAGCTTCTGCACAGCGAAAGATACAATCATCAAAACGGAATGGTTACCCACTGTATGGGAGAGCATAATTGCCAATGATATATCAGATAAGTGGTTAATTTCCAATATATATAGAGTGCTCATACAACTCAACAAAAGGAAGACAAAGAATTCAATTAAAAAATGGGCAGAGGAACTAAATAGACACCTCTCCATACAGGACATACAAATGGCTAAGAGACATATGAAGAAATGCTCAACATCACTAATCATCAGGAAATGCAAATTAAAACAACAATGAGGTATCACCTCACACCTGTCAGAATGGCCGCCATCAACAAATCATCAAACAACAAGTGGGGGGAAAAGGAGAAACATCTGTAACAAAAATTAATTAAAAAAACAAAAAAACATGTAACTCCTTCCAGATAACCTTTTCATTAAAGTGGCTCCTGTCAGAGTGTTCATTTCAGACCGTGGACAAACAAATGATGGGCCCTTGAGATTTTCTGGCTCAACCCAGCCGTGGGCAGTTAGCTCCTTTATCTGTGTACAAAACCAGCCTCGCCGTTATAGCTTCCATTTAATTTTTTAAAATGTTCGATCACTCCAATGCCAAATGGTTATTTACCGGTCTCCTGTAACTGCATATGATCTAAGAAAGATTTTTACCAAACAAAAATCATATTGGCCTTTTGATATTTGTATTGGAAAAAACTGGTACTTCCGTGCCAACACCTGAATGGTCGCTTGGTGGTGGCGCCTGGCTCTCAGGAGGATGCTGCCGCACACAGCTACGCTGTTCTGTTACCTGTTTTTCCACCACAGATAAGTTCATGTGAGGGACCAGACGGATGGAGAATTTCCCTGTAACTCGACCAGGTATGACTGTTTTAGTTCCAGGCTCATCAAACGCACCCTCGATGCCATGAATGGAGAGAGATGGGTACCTCCACAGGTGCATTAAAATTTCCTCCTAAATGAAAACAAGGTTTTGCATTGTTTTAGATACAAGAACGATTGACTAAAACTAGTCCAGTTGGATTGCTCTTCACCAGTTTCTGCACATCGGCAACACCATTCATGACGAGTTAGTTATCACCCAGCTTAGCTATGTCTGGACTATAACACAAATGACTTTCTCCCTCAGGACATGAGGTCCTGTGTGGCTGTCACCTGCCCAAGCCACTCCCAGTGACAAGGGCCCCTTGTCACCTGAGCTCTGAAGTTTCTGTTAATGGATGGCAAAGGGGCTCTTTCAGAAGTATGAGTTCAGTGATAAATTCCTGTCCCCAGTCATAGCAATGACAGCTTGTGTGCTAAATGCATGTTATTTTTGTCTGGTCTGTGTGGCTCAGTGGTTGAGCGTCGGCCCATGAACCCAGAGGTGACCAGTTCGATTCCCGGTCAGGGCACATGTCCAGGTCATGGGCCCGATCCCCAGTGGAGGGCATGCAGGAGGCGGCCAATCGATGTTCTCTCTCATCGATGTTTCAATCTCTCTCTCCCTCTCCCTTCCTCACTCTCTAGAATCAATAAAGACAAACAAAGAAAAAAACTTAAATGCATTTTTTCCGGGCATCAAAGCATGCTGCAGACATCTGAGCTGGTTTTCTTTCTTGCTGTGGCCACCACAGAGCTCTTGGAGGAAACAGACCCCTCCTCGTAGTGAATTCTGTCCCTGGCTCTGCAGGACTTCTCCCTGCACCCCCTCAGGAAGCAGCCCCTGCACCCAGACACCACAGCGGGAGCACAGGAGCCACAGGTGACAGAGGAGGGGCAGGAAGCACCTGGACCTCCCCTGACCGGACTCCTGTCCCCAGGCTTACTTCCTACACGGAGGCAGCCCTCAGGGATTTGCAGCGTAGCCTCGGAGGCTCTTGGTTTGGTCTAGAAAATGAACCGCTGGGGGTGGAGCTGGGACCGCTGCAGACTCTTCTCGCTCTGTGCACAGGTAGGAAGCCGGCTGGCGCTGTCTAGTGGCCAGACTAGGAGGGGCAGGGCTGTGGGAGAGGAAGCCCTGTGGTCACGGCCCCCAGATAAGGTCTGGACCTCGACCTGGAGTGGCCGTGAAGGGGACCACGTGCCTCAGAATCAGCTCTCTGGGTTCGGAGCTCGGACATCAGCAGCACACAGAGCAGGCGCCGGGAGAAAAGGGTCAGTAGCACGATTCGTGTCAGAGCCGTCGCTACAGCCATACCTTGGTGTCGAACAGAAATGTCTTAACCTGGCTGCTATTCCGGTATTCTTCCAGGTCCAGCTCAATGGCGCTGTACATGTCCCTCTCCTCTTCTGTGACAGGAGCCACGTGGTCGTAGATTCCGGGGATCAGAATACGCCCGGACGAGTCTGTGAGGCTGCCTACAAGGTGCACACAGGACACAGAGCCAGACGGGTCAGGCCGGGCTGACGCACCCGCCTGCCGGGCCCACGGTGACTCCCCCGGGACAGCGGCCTGTGACTGGCTCTGGTCCCCATGACAGAGCCGCTGGCTGCGACGCACATCCTAGAGGGGTGGTCACAGGAAGGAGCTGGTCACCGGCAGGCCCCCTTCAATGTCCACTTGCCAATGCAAGGGTGGAAATCAGTGAAATGGGGTTGGACACACCTGCATTGCATCCAAGTTCTCAACTATACCTTTTATAGCATAAACATTAGAAACGTTTTAAAGTTTCATTGTATCCTGAGTCAAAAAGTCATGGTTTCATGCCCTGGCCGGTTTGCTAAGTGGTTAGAACATTGGCCCACAGACCAAAGGGTCATGGGTTCAATTCCAGTCAAGGGCATGTACCTGGGTTGTGCGGGAGGCAACTAATTGATGTGTCTCTCTCACTGTTTCTCTCTCTCTCTCTCTCTCTCTCTCTCTCTACCCCCCTTCCTCACACTCTATCTGGAAAAATCAATGGAAAAATATCCTCAGGTGAGGATTTAAAAAAAAGAAAAAAAAATTAAAGAAAGTGAAACCCATCTGGCAGGTGTGGCTCAGTGGACTGAGCATCAATCATCCCACAGACTGAGAGGTCACCGGTTCGATTCCCAGTCAGGGCACAAGCCCAGGTTGCTGGCTCGATCCCCAGTAGGGGATGTGCAGGAGGCGGACAATCGATGTTTCTCTCTCACGTCGATGTTTCTATCTCTCGCTCCCTTCCTCTCTGTCTAAAAAACCAGTAAAAACATATATATATGGAATCCCACGCCTGGGGGGAACCATGGGCTCGCTCTGTGCAGACGGCAAGCAGCCGGCAGGCTTGGGCGGGTGTGTGTGTGTGTGTGTGTGTGTGTGTGTGTGTGTCAAAATGCATCCTAAAGATACGAGGATGCTGTTCCTGGGAAGAAAAAATGAGCTCTGGTAAAACAGAAGTTGGCCTTTCTCCATCCCACCCCCAAAATAAGTATTAAGTTGCATGCTATCTGAACTCTCCTGGAAATCATTTAAACACTTTGAAGGAAAATGACATATTGTATTCTGTCTTAAATTGCCAAGCCAGTAGTAGAATGTGTATAGAGGTGCCCTTTGTGCCCAGTGAGACACATCCGGGTATTGTGGGGCCTGAACTTACATAACCTGAGAACCTCTTTTTCAAAAAAACACCGCAATATCAATATAAAAGTGCAGTGACCTGCCAGGACTATGGAAGGGACTCCTACAAGCAAAACCCCTGAACAGGAGGCTTCCCCCAGTTCCCAGGGGTCCACCCCAGCTGCCGGGCAGTCCTGAGGAAGCCACAGGGTGAATCAAGGTGGGTGCATGGGCTCTCGGAAAACACACACACACACACTCCTCCTGCTGGTGTGCACGAGACACTGTAAGGAGGCAGGGCAGGGTGATGAGCAAACTCATCGGAGTCTCTGTGCCACTTGGAGACACAGCAACATGCAAAAGGAAGCCAAGCGGAGCTGGAGTATGGGCACCAGTCCGAGTGCCTCCCCAGGGTCTCTAGGTGCCATGCTATTGTTCTGAGCAGGTGTGTTGAGTACCCAGTGAAAGAAAGGGGGGGGGGCAAAGTCAGGAGGAGCTTTAGTCCATGAAAAGAAGTAACATGGGCTTAATAAACCCAAGAAACATTTAGCCGAGAGGGGACGCTGAGAGCCTGGCCAGTGTGGTTGTTGTTGAGCATCGTCCCAGGCACCAAGAGGATGCCAGTTCGATTCCTGATTGGGCACATGCCCGGGTTGCGGGCTTAATCCCCAGAGGGGGACATGTGGAAGGCAGCCGACTGATGTTTCTATCTCTCTCTCCCTCTCACTTCTTCTCCCTCTAAAGATCAGTGAAAACATATTTTAAAAGAAAAGAAAAGAGGGGAAGCTAAGAATACGTTTTTTTCTTCTCCACCTTTATCCAGAGCTGGCTTGGAGACCAGAGGAGGTGAGGCACGCTGGGTCAAATGGAACTACATTTCAGTAGATTCCTCGATGCTTAAAAAGTGAAATGAGCCCTGGCCGGTTTGGCTCAGCGGTTAGAGCGTCGACCTGCGGTCCTGAGAGACCCGGGTTTGGTTCCCGCTAAGGGCACGTACCTCGGTTGCAGTTTGTCCCCGGCCCTGGTCGGTCGTGCGGGTGGCAGCCACTCGATGTGCCCCTTTCACATCGATGTTTCTCTCTCTCTCTCTCTGTTCCTCTCTCTCCCTCCCACTCTACCTGAACAAAAAAATGGGAAAATGTCCTCGGGTGAGGATAAAAAAAAAAAAAAAGTGAAATGAAATAAGACATTACCAAGAAGAGCCACCAAATCAGCCATCGGCTCATGAAGGATGCCACCAAAGGTCCCCGAGTGAAAATCTTGATCTCTGCATCTCACCTGTAAGACAGGTGGAAGAGAAGACAGGTGCTACCGCCATCGTTGCTGTCGCCATCGCTTTCACAGGGCGGGACACACGCCCAGCAGCGTCCCTGGGGCTCGGGTGAGCAAACTGATGTCACCTCTACTGTCTAGTCACGAGTCCCCTGATTCGTGTCCCATGTGTCCTGAACACCCTGACGTTGACTTCAGCTCCCACAAATACAGTTCTCTCCAAGATCACCAAATTACTGATGACTGGCATCGTCTTCCTCGTGGGTTCACCCCCAGCTGTTGCTCACTCTCCGTCCAGAAAAATTCTCCCCTGTGGTTTCTGAGAAAGTGTCTTCTCTGCATTCTTTCCTAGCCTGCAGGACGATTCTATTAACGTGTCCCCTGGGAACTCCTGTTCTGTCTCCCACCTCACCGCTTGTTCCAGGCCACACTCTTCCTCGACACCCCGCGTCAGAACTAGTTCACTGTTTTCATTCACAGCCCCACACCCTACGTGCTCATCCCTGTGGGCCTGCCCACCCGTGTGCTCCCACTTTCTGAAATCCAGCTCTAGAGGTCAACTCAACGTCTTCTGCTAGGATGACTTCCTACCAGCGTGCGCGTCTCCAAGTCAAGGAGAGTCCTCAGTCCTGTTCATCTGTCACCTTAAAATTACGTTGGACTCCTCTTTGCGCACCGCATCCAATCTGTTACCAAGGTCCAAGGAGGTTTAATCGTCTCTTCCATCCATCTCCTCCCATCTTTCCTGCCCAGCTGGTCTTTCCCTGCCCAATCCACCTTAAAGGGGACGCCAGGAGTGCTTGGTTGCTCCCAGCCCCCTGGGTTCCCACGGGGTGGGATTGTTAGCCCTTCACGCTGTTAGGTGAGAAAACAGGCGGGAATAGCTAAAAAACAGGCGATTTCCCTGGAGGGACGTGCTGATTCTGACTCGTGTGCCCTGTCCCAGGCTGTCTGTAAAGGAGAAGGGAGTGGACCAGCCATCACATGCAGTGAAGGCACAATCCCGGGGCGGGTGGGGGCGGCTGTGCTCACTTAGAGGTAAGGCCGTGAGGCTTGGAGGGTAAGTAAGGCGCCTGCACAGGCTGCGTGTGCATCATCGAGCCAGACCTGGGATGCAGGCCTCGAAATGCCAGCTCCCCTGGTCTCGGTCCCAGTCGCGGAAGGCAGGCCCCTACCCCCCGGGGCTGCTGTTCCTGCCTCCAGACTCCACAGCTGCAGTCCCTACACCTCTTGGCCTGTGTATCACGAGCCCTCTGAATCCAGTCTGCAGAATGATGCACAGAGCACAAACTGAACAGTGCAGGAGCAGGGCAGGGAGGGGGCTTCATGAACCCCCAGGCCCAGGCACAGACCTCCCTGCTGGGTCCCAGCTGGGCAGCTAAGAAGAACTCTGTGCTCTCACACAGCGTTGTCTCTGCCTTCCCGACCCAGGATGGCTTCCTGCCTGCAGTACCTCCACCATGAAGTAGCTGTTGCCCCGCGTTCCGTAGATGAGGGCCGGCCTCCGCTGGCTGACCCACAGATTATCTGAAATTACAATGCAGTCCACGCTGGAAAAGAACCCGTCCTTTTCTCTCGCGACAAGTTCCTTCAGGGCCACAGAGCCGGCTTCTTCCATCCCTTCGAGGATGAACTTGATGTTCACGGGCAGGTCCTGAGTTAACGAGTCAACAGGGGGACAAACCATTCTGTCGACGATTGCACAGCTCACCCACCCACCTTGTAGGACCCAGGGTCAGTGTGAATTTAACGTAGTGACTACAGTACATTATCACATGTGTTCAGTGTACAAATGGCTCACATTCCCAACATTTCTGTTATAGCAAAGGCGTTTCGACTCAGGTCATGAAGGAGAATTCAAGGCAAGTGTATACATCCCAGGGTGCCCCATCAATGTGATGTCGGCAAAGGGTTTGGAGAAGGAACTCCTAAGAGGCACGACACCCATACCCCAGAGCTCTGCCGGGCCGCCCCAGACAGAGGCACTTCCAAAAGGAATTCTTCGAGAAAGGTTACTCAATCACAGATCCCTTTTCTGCCCTCATCATTCTGAGCATGATAAATGAGAACTCTTTTCTTTGAAAGACTGTCTCATGTTTAAGCCTCAGGATAATTTTTATTTCAAGTATCTGTTATTCCTCAACCATGAGTTCAATCTGCCTTTTAACTTACTCAGAGGCTTTGATCATGCAGCAGAATGGAACACGAGTCTTTTCCAGTTAATATTAGGGCTCAGAATAGCTCCTTTAAAACCTTTACAATGTGCCTCCCCCATTTGGTTTTGATCTCATTGTAGCTCTGTGATTCCTGACTTCATCTCCGAGAGGCACAGGAGGAGGGGGTCAGAGTCTCCTCCCGCAGCGGAAGACACACGCAGAAGACTCCAAAGGGATCCTATGCCGCCAAGCGACAGCACAACATACTAATTAGCTCTAATGAGTGGGCTCGACCCGCCGAAGGTTAACAAAGGCAGGGTGAGCAGAGGATTGAGAATTAGGAAATGTGACCTCGGCCATCCCATCTCAAGGGTGTGTGGGGACAATGATTCGTTCAGAGGTATCGCTTACCTAGGTTTCTTTCTGTGGATCTGAGGGAGCCCAGCTACAGTTCTCAAATCTTAATAATCAAAAGCTCTTTATGAACATTTAACTAGTCAACGATGACTGAGAGGCAGTTGAAAAGCCTAAGAATTTTCTGGCAAAAGGTGATTAATAAAATACAAGCAGCTCGGCCGGTGTGGCTCAGAGGTTGAGCGTCGACCCTGCACCAAGAGGTCACTGGTTCAATTCCCGGTCAGGGCACATGCCCAGGTGTGGGCCAGATCCCCAGTGGGGGGCATGCAGGAGGCGGCTGATCCACGTTCTCTCTCATCCATGTTTCTATCTCTCTCTCCCTCTCCCTTCCTCTCTAAAAAAAATTTTTTTAAATCAATAAAGAAAAAAAAATGTTTTTAATATAAATTAAAAAATAAATAACCCTGGCTGGTTTGGCTCAGCAGTTAGGGTGTCAGCCCATGGACCAAAGAGTCTTGGGTTCGATTCCAATCAAGGGCACGTACCTCGGTTGTGGTTTGTCCCCGGCCCTGGTCAGGGTCATGCGGAAGGCAGCCAATCGATGTGTCCCTCTCATGTGGATGTTTCCCTCTCTCCCTCCCTCCCACTCTATCTGAAGATGAATGGAAAAATATCCTCAGGTGAGAATTAAAAAAAAAATAAAAATAAAAACTAAATAAATAAATAAAATACAAACCAATGGCTACTAAGTGTTGGAAGAGGGTGACAGACCAGCAGGTAGGCCTGGGTTTGGTCTCTGCTCTGTCCCTGGGCACCCAAGGGACCTGGACCAGCTATTTCACCCCTGGGCAGCTCGCTTGTCTCCCTGGGTGACGGGAGCACTGACACTCACTCTGGCTCTTGGTGAGACAGTCCAGTGCGCTGGTGCATGCACAGTGGTCCCTACACGAGGCGGGAGGAGAGGGTGACAGGGCGGAGGCGGGGGGACACCAGGCAAGAGGAAACCTGAACTCTTTTTTTTTTTATCCTTACCCGAGGACATTTTTCCATTTTTTGTACAGATAGAGTAGGAGGGAGAGAGAGGAAGAGAGAGAGAGAGAGAAACATCGATGCGAAAGGGACACATCGAGTGGCTGCCACCCGCACGACCAACCAGGGCCGGGGACAAACTGCAACCGAGGTACATGCCCTTAGCGGAACCGAACCCGGCTCTCTCTGTACCGCAGGCCAAGGCTCTAACCGCTGAGCCAAACCGGCCAGGGCGAAACCTGAACTCCTAAGGGCCTCCCACTGGTCAGCACTGGAGCGCGCTGACCATGTCACGTCACTGCATCCACTCCGCGCCGGAGGAAGAGATGACCGTCCCTAGCTCACCGGGAGGAAAAGGAGGCTCAGAGAGAATGGACTGACTTGTGTTTCGTTCGCAATTATTTAAGTTTCAGAGTTGAAATTTAAAAGCAAAGCAGATGTGGGCCTATACAGAGGAATTTCCTTATAGATATTGCTTTCCTTCCTTCAGAAAGAAGGGGGAAGAGCGAGAGAAAGAGAAAGAGAAGGAGGGAGCCGGGCGGGAGCAGACAGAGGAAAGTCCAGGGAGAAACTCGAGACCGAGAAGAGAGCAGGGGAGGCCGAGGCCACGCGCAGCTTCCAGGGTGACCGTGTGAGCGTCGAGTCAGACGACGACACTGCAGTGGCCGGTGGGCCTGCGGCAGCCGGTCCTGACTCGAGCGCGTCTTTCCAGGGACGTCAAGCAGCTGAGTGGAGAGCGGTTACCCCCGCCCCTCTTTGCTTACGGCAAAGGAAAAGAACATAAGCCCAGGAGAGAGAAGCCCTTGGCACCTGATGAAATCTCCTCCGAGGACAGGATTTGGGAGCGAGGGGCACCCTCAACGACCTAGGCTTTGGGCCTGGGCTGGGAGAGCGCCCGGAACCGGAGCCCTGCTTTCTGGCGTCCACTGGAAGAGACCGGATGGACCAGCGCCGAGGAGTCCAGCCCCGAACCTCCTTCAGTGTCCAGGGTTCAAAGTGCTTGACTTAAGGAAGCAGCTACATGTCCTCCAGGTTCATCCCACGGAATCCTTGGAGCCGAGAGCCAGTCTCTTCCAGGATCAGGCTCACTAACTAGATGGGCTGCTTCACGTGAACCGGAAGCCGCCGTAACCCTAACGTGGCGTCAGGAAGCCAGACACCCTAACCAACACCCTCCTTTTTACAGGACAGGATCTGAGGTCCAGAGACATCAGGTCTCCTGTCCAGGGCCACATAGCTGGATTGATTCCTCTGTGTAGAGTCTAAGTGCCCTCATCAGGGGAAGGCAGGGTCGTATGAGATGAAACCATCCTTGTGAGAACAGCACATGGGACAGAGGAAGACCCAAACCTGAGCCACCAACATTCCTCTGGTGGCCCAAGAGAGGCAGCCCCTCCTGGAAGCAGCCCCCTACCTTTCCAGTACCTGTGCTGGCCCACATATTAGAAACTAGATTCGTGTCCTGCCTGGCTGGTTCGGCTCAGCAGTTAGAGCGTCGGCCCATGGACCGGAGAGTCACGGGTTTGATTCCAGTGAAGGGCAGGGACTTCAGTTGTGGTTCAGTCCCCAGCCCCGGTCAGGGTTGTGCAGGAGGCAACTAGTCGATGTGTCTCTCTCACGTCGATATTTCTCCTTCTCTCTCTCTCTCTTTCTCTCTCTCTCCCCACCCCCTCCCACTCTATCTGAAGATAAATGGAAAAATATCCTCAGGTGAGGGTGGTTTTTTTTTTTGAAAAAAGAAAACTATATTCACAAGAATGGAAAGACAGCTAAAGATTCAGACAGAATGTCATATGCTAGGGGTCTCTATCTTGTTCATTGGTAAGGTAGCTAATGTATTTTTTTAAAGTATATGTCTGTCTCTATTAATAAAAATTAAACTCAGTGATAAGAAGGAGGAGGAAATAAAAAATGCAAGCTAAAATAAGATAAAGGTAAAAAGGCAAGTCCCAGCAGAGAGTAACTTAGCTACAGCTTCATCATGGGTTTTGTTATGTTTTGTTTTTCAATGTGGTCAGCAGCCCAGGCTCAAGGTACCCTGTCTGCCCGGGACCAGCTGGGCGGCTTTGAGCAAGTCCCCTAACCTTCCCAAGCCTCACTCCCTCGTCTGTAAAATGGGTGTGACTGTAATAATATATACCTCTGAAGACCGTTGGGAACAGTAAGGACAAAATTCAGTTGAAAGCTTGGAGCACAGTGATCCACTCAAAGTACATTGCCTCTACCATCATTGTCACCATCAGTGTCACCGCCACAGTCACAGTCATCGTCACTGTCACCATCACCATCACTGTCACCATCATCATCACTGTCACCATCATCATCACCACCAGGGTCACCGCCACAGTCACAGTCATCGTCACTGTCACCATCACTGTCACCATCATCATCACTATCACCATCATCATCATCACCACCAGTGTCACCGCCACAATCACAGTCACCATCACCATCACTGCCGCTGTCACAGCCATCATCACCATCACTGTCACCATCACCCCACTGTCACAATCATCATCACTATCACTGTCTCCATCACCCCACTGTCACAGTCATCATCACCATCACTGTCACCATCACCCCACTGTCACAGTCATCATCACTATCACTGTCTCCATCACCCCACTGTCACAGTCATCATCACCATCACTGTCACCATCACCCCACTGTCACAGTCATCATCACTATCACTGTCTCCATCACCCCACTGTCACAGTCATCATCACCATCACTGTCACCATCACCCCACTGTCACAGTCATCATCACTATCACTGTCTCCATCACCCCACTGTCACAGTCATCATCACCATCACTGTCACCATCACCCCACTGTCACAATCATCATCACTATCACTGTCTCCATCACCCCACTGTCACAGTCACCATCACCATCATTGTCACCATCACCCCACTGTCACAATCATTATCACCACCACTGTCACATCATCACCATCACCATCACCACCACTGTCACAATCATCATCACCATCACTGTCACCATCACCCCACTGTCACAGTCATCATCACCATCACCATCACCCCACTGTCACAGTCATCACCATCACTGTCTCCATCACCCCACTGTCACAGTCATCATCACCGTCACTGCCTCAGTCATCATCACTGTCCTCCCTCCCAAACGGCGCTGGGACCTACTTCCTCCAGGGCTCGGAATGTGCCCACGGCATTCATCCACGCCAGAACAGGGCCTTTGTTGTCTGTTGCTCCTCGTCCGTAAAGTTTTCCTTGAAAAGTGGGGGAAGAACGGTCAGGAAAGTGTGGCTTCCTCTGCCAAGCTGAGCAAGTTGAAAACAAAGGCCATTGTGTGGGCGGTCACTCAAGCAGTGCTCTCTGCTTCCGGGATCTTGCACCGAAATCACAAGTATGATCCCTCACGTGCACCCAGCAGGCACCGCTCGTCAGAAATGTGAGCTGATTTGAAATCCACAGATCATTTGGTCTGAACAGTAAACTGCTATTTCATCCAAGATCATTGGAAAGGACTTGAGGGATTGTTACAGGCTGTCGAGTGAAAAGCTTCTTATTCTGAGATTTTACTCTGAGCAAAAGAAGGAAAAAGGGGGTCCCTGTGTCTCCATCAGCTTTTCGTCTTCTTTCCTCTAAAAAGACATTATATTTGCCCTGGCCAGTCTGACTCCGCAGTTGCAGCGACGGCCCGAGGACTGAGTAGTCTCGGGTTCAATTCTGGTCAAGGGCATGTACCTCGGTTGCAGTTCGGTCCCCAGCCCTGGTCAGGGTCATGCAGGAGGCAGCCAATCCATGTGTCTTTCTCACATTGATGTTTCTCTCTCTCACTTTCTCTCCCCTTCCCACTCTACCTGAAGATAAATGAAAACGTATCCTTGGGTGAGGATTTAAAAAAAAAAGAAATTACATTTGGTAATTTTAGAAAGAAGACCTGTGACCTAGATAACTGTTTTCCTGACAGCCCAAGGACTCTATCCTGGGGAAGTCATTCACCCAAGGGCATAGAGGCTCCCAGTTTCTTTCGCAAATGGAAGAAAATCGGCCTCATCAGACCACCCTGTAGACCACAGAGTGGCCTTCCGTTCATTCTGAACCATGACAGGTTAAGACCTGGAGCGGGGAGGCACTTCTTAAACCCTCACGCCCTGCGAGCAGCCCCTTCTCCACAGAAGCACCAGCTCAGTATGTCGGCACATCACTGACCGTCCACCTCCGTCAACGTGTAAGGGTCCGTGAGCCACCCGTTGGCCTGGGCCGCAGGCTGCACATCCAGGTGGCCGTAGAAACACACGGTGGGTTTCTCTGGCTCGTCCCCCAGCTCGGCCAGGATGATAGGAGGTATCGGGAGAGTCTGGCCGTCAGGCAGCTGCAGAAGGAAACTGAGTCACGTTTTTAAATAAATGCTGCTTAGTTCTCCCAGAAAATTCAGAGACATGACATTAGGAGTCCCTTTACGCCCCTGGCTCCTTGGGAGCCCACACACTTTTCTGATCACCCTTTATCTAGCTCTAACACGGGTACCACGAGACACTTTTCGTTACAACATGAAACGTAATTAAAACGAGCCACTGCCTTAGACACACACTGACAGAGCACACCTAACTGAGCGTGCTCGTCTGCAGGAACTCAGACTCAAGGAGCTTGAATTGGGTGGATGCAGTCGGGAAACAAGCCCTTTGGAGACCTGTCAATGCTGAGCCAGGAGGCACTGGGCACTAAGATTTAAGATCGCTGCCTGTAGCCCGGCCGGTGCGGCTCGGTGGTTGAGCGTCGACCCTGCACCAAGAGGTCTGATGCCCAGTCAGGGTACGTGCCCAGGTTGTGGGCCCGATCCCCAGTGGGGGGCGTGCAGGAGGCGGCCAATCGATATTCTTTCTCATCTATGTTTCTCTCTCTCTCCCTCTTCCTTCCTTTCTCTATAAAATCAATAAAGAAAAAAAAAAAAAAAGGTTGCCTTGTGACCACGAGGCAACAACAAGCAATGATTCGGACGAAGCTGGAGCCTTTGAGAAAAACGCATCAGGGCTCTGGGGGGAAGAAGGGAGGATGTGAAGCCTGGGAGCGGGGTGTGAACAGCATGAGGCCTCTCCAGACTAAGTGGGCCTTCACTCACCTGCTGTCCTTGTGCCCCCAAGTCCTGACCTGATGAGAAATCGACATGACAGCCTCATCGGGGACGAGGAGGACTTCTCCACCCTTACTGGGATCGAGCTCACTGAGGTGTTTTCACTGGGTCAGGGCAAGCCTCCCCACCCCCTCCCCCACCCCTGCCACCACCACAGGAAGGCCTGGCCCATGCATGGGGAACTGGCCACTAATGGGGAAGGAGGCACCGCCCACACCTGCTGAGAGCCCGAGCCCACGAGGCTCACGCTGGCCCCCAGGCCCCGGAGCTCCTCCGCAGCCAGAGCCATCATCCTGAAGAGCTCCTGTCGCAGGCGGGGCACAGGTTGAACGGAGTCACTCTCGATGGCCACCCACTCCCTCAGCCTCTGTGAGGACAGGCGACGGGCTGATTAGCACGACACAGCACAGGGGGCACAGAATCCCCGACGCTCTCGTTTGTCCTGGGCACTCCAAAGGCACCGGGACAAGCCAAAGGTGTCATCAGGATCACAGGCATCAGAGCTGGCAGGGTCAAAAGGACAATGGGACAGGGTGGGTTGGGTAGAAGGTTGTCTTCCCCCAAACCCAGGCCCGTGCCCCTGTGGTCCACCAGGATTGCAAAGAAATGCAGCCCCGCCCCCTTGGTTATTAGCACTGAGCATGCTGGGTGGACTGTCCCACTCCAGGCCTCTTGGCTTCCCATAATGCCCTGGCACACACTGATCACCTGGCTTGACCCCATGGCGGCCTCAGCGGGCTGCAGGGCTCCTTGGACCATCCTTTGAACTTAGATTTTGTGGTCAGCACCCCCTCACCCTCCGACCCCGCTTAGGTTTTGTGGTCAGCCCTGCCTGCTCCTCCAGGATCTGGGAGGCAGGGAGACCAGGGTTTAATTCCGGCTGGACAGGCAGACAGCCTTAGTCCCTAACGCTGGTGCTGCCCCCTAGAGGTGGGAGACTGAGGACATTCCTTCTGCTCTCTCCTATGTGCAGGGAGTGGCCACCTCCGACTGCAGGTGCGCGAGTGTGAGGGTGCAGCGCCACAGGAAGTATCTCCTCCGGTCTTCGTCCCAGCTCTCAGCTCGAGCTCCTGAAGCTCACAACTTCCGAAACGACGGAGGTGCCAGGATCGTCTTTGGTTCTAACATTTGCTCCCGGCCTCCGGTTCCTACCACAGAGCTCCTGGCTCCTTCAGAATTCCCTGGGCGACAGCACCACCTTTCGTTCTGATGGGGCCGCTCTGGGAGGCTCCTGGGGACTGGTCACCAGAAGGAGGGAGCTGTGATGAGAAGCCTGGGACCTTCAGCCGCAGCCACACCTCTGGGGTGGGGGTGGGGGTGGGGACTGGACATTGAGCTAGTAATTGTCATGAGGAAAACCCCTCATCTGGGCAAATCTGCTTTACAGGGAGGCTCGGGGAGAACGTGCTAGTGACGCTGGCTGCGGGCACAAGCTGATAATCAGGCACATCCCCGAATCGGAACCTTGGCAGCTTATCCTGGGACAGCGCTCCCACCGGACGCCACCGGCTTTTGGGGACTGAGCTTGGGCTCCCCAGCCTGCTCTGGTTTGATTGCTGTCCTGGTAGTCTGTAGCACTTCCATTTTTGCTGTAAAGAAGTTGATTTAACCTTATGGAATATTGTGTTTTTAAAACTGGACTGTACAGAGCAGTACAGTCATCCTGGGTTATCCCTGAATGTATGGCCGGGGTCCCCGAGAGGCCGCAAAGGGCACAGGGCTAGCGGAATGCTCAGACCCACACACGCTCCCCCCAACTGCAGCCGGGCCCGGAACCTCCCACTCGGGCCTCAACACGCGACATGCGCGCGGTGCGGGCAGCACTCCTGTCAGGAGGCTCCCACGGAGGGCGGCCTGGGACCGCGGCCTGGACCAGCGCTGTGCTCCAGCGAGAAGCCCAATCAGAACCCTAACACTGACGGGCTGATAAATAACCACCTTCTGAACCCGTGTGCCAGGCCTGACGTGGGGCCCGGGGTACAGGTCCGGCTGCGGTGGAGGCCCGGCCTGAGCGGGGACAAGGAGAGGGACTTGCAGGGGAACCTGTGGGCCGGCCCCTTCCTGCTTCCCTCCCCAGGCCTCCCTCGCCGTGTCCGCCCCACACGTGCTGCGAGGCGAGACAGGAGCAAAGCAGAGGGTACCTGGGAGAAGATATGGGGGGATCGCACCTGGACCCCAAACACCAGCCTCGACCCTGACCTGGCAGAGCCCTGGGCCATGAGCTGCGCAGCTGGGAGGGGTTGCTGTGGGGTGGAGTCCAGGTGGGCCTCAGCCAGGGCCCGGCTGGAGGTTACCATGGCAACCTGAGGATGGTTCCGAGTAACAGGAGCTCAGTGTGGTCCTGGCCATGACTCCAGGGACATCCCCGAAGTCAAAGTGCTGGGCGGGAGCAGAGCCCCTTTTCGGGGAATGGCTGGGAGGGGTCTCTTCCCTGATCTAACGAATGGTGACTGCAGTATTGTAATTCAATGAAGAATCTCAGGCATTTCGAATGGAACCCCGTTGTCAAGAAAAATCCCCCCTCTCCTGGCAAGTAACCACGCGCCCAGACACGCAGAGGGGTCTCTTGCAAGCACCCCGCCTGTAGCCTCTCTGACCTGCACAAATTCATCCTGGTGGAGATCCATGTACCGGAAGACCTTCTCGAGCAGCGGCGCCTGGGGCGAGGACAGAGAGGACATGCCTCCCAGAAGCAGCAGGAGAGCAAGGACGGTGATGCCTGTGGGCGGGGACAGGACAGGAAGCAAGGTAAGTACCAGGGTCTGGACTTTTGACCTTGCAAATGCTTCAAGAAAATCTGTCCTCCAGCACACCTGCTCCCGGTCACTCAGACTAAAATGACAAAAACCTATCCCGGCTCCCCAGAAGCTTCGTTTCCAGTGCTCACGGACTTCCTGAGACAGAAACCAGGCTAACGAGCTCATCTCCCAACAGCCTCCATCAGCTTGTTCCTGGGATGATCTGTCCTGTCGGTTTGCCTCCCTCTGCACCGTGACCCAACACACGGTGTTAAGGGCAATATTTGTGAGGGAGAGAAGTGTGATGCAATTTTTTAAAAATAAAAACGTCCATGTGGTTCACCACGTCGTTGGGATGGACGTCTGTGAGGGCGTCTGGAATCCCGCGCAGTGTCCGAGGGCACGGTTTCTTCCCACCGGCTCTGGCGCTGGGCACAGAGCAGAGGGGGGGACTTTCAGGCTCAGAACAACTCATCTCCTCCCAAACCAGCTCTTCCCTGTGGATTTGTGCACATTTTGAAAATAGACTTTATTTTCTGGAGCCATTTGGGGTTCAAGCTGCCTCCTCCCTTGGCCACCAGCTCTGCGGCCAACAGAGCCAAGGTGAGGACGCGTGTCCGTTGGCTGCAGACACGAGCTGTGTGTCTTGACTATAAAGAACTACCACAAGGCAATACTTTGAGACAAATTGACCCAATTTGAACAGACATTTCTCCAAAGAAAGTCTACCAGTGACCAATAACCCCATGAAACGATGGTCAACACCATTGGCCATCGGGAACTGCAAACCAAGTGATGAGACATCAGTTCGCACACACTCGCCTACTCATACGATTAATGTGGGAAAGTCAGATAACAGCAAGGGTTGGCAAGGCCGGGGAGAAACTGAAATCTCACTGGTGGTCGGAGGCAGAGGGTGCGGCCCCTCAGAAAACAGTCCGGAAGTCCTCAAGAGATCAAGCATGTGACCTAGCAAACCCTCTCAGGTATGAAAACACATGTCCACACAAAAACATACGGATGTCCATACAAAAACACGTCCACGCAAAAAGCTCGTACACGGATGCTTGCAGCATGATTCCTAACAGCCGCAACCCAAGTGTCCGTCAGCGGGTGAGTGGGTGAATAAAATGTGGTCTATACACACAGTGGAATATTACTCAGCCACGAAAAGAAATGAAGCACTGATTCATGCTACAACATACAACAACACCCTGAAAACATTAGCCGAGGGAAAAAACCCAGACATAAAAGACTACGTATGGTATCAGTTCATGTATATAAAATATGCAGAATAAATCCTGAGAGACAGGCTGGCAGAATTGGGGGAAAATGGGGAGTGACAGATGACAATGAGTAGGGGGTTCTTTTTGGGGTGATAAAAAGTTCTAAAGCTGATTGTGTCAATGCCTGTGCAATTCTGAACATACTAAAAACCACTGAATTGCACACTTTAAATAAGTGAATTGCAAGGTCCGTGAATTATGTTGCAACGTGGTTGTTATAAAAATAATAATCACAAATATAAACACTCGTTCAAAATATAAATATATTGCTGAGTATGAAAAATGCCTAACTATAAGGAAGCGAAGAAATGGGTAAATTCAAGGTCACATGACCCCGGCTCATCCACAAGCAGGTTAAGAACTTGGGCCAGTAGATGGCGCCCACGAGCCGCTCCTGAGCATCCTTGGCCTCATTCCGGAGGGACCAAGACTGGGGGGCAGAGCCCAGACCCAGGGGCTGCAAATAAACCAACAGGGAAAGAAGCTCAGGGCCCCTGGGAACGGCTCTTTGAAAGGGAATAGACTATTTTTTGCAGCCAATCCATCTAAATTAATATTCAAACTGTTATTTTTATTTTTTTGTGCATTCAATTCCCATTAAAAAAGTATGTGGTGCTCCTCTTAGTAAGGACTAAGAACGGTTCGGATTTCGGTGGGAGCCCCCTCCCCTCCCAAGGAAGGGCACACTCAGGGCTTCCTACGGGATCGTTCCTGGCGGTGGGCCCTCGCACAGCGTCTGCAGGTCCTCTTCCCCACAGTGCCTGCAGCGTGGATGGAGCGCACGTGTCCGTGTGCCGCAGACACAGACTGTGGGCGCCGACCCTGCCTGTACGATCCTGGGTGGGGCCCCATCATCCCCGCGTATGAGCTCCCTCCCCAGTCTCCCGCACCCCTTTCTCTTTGGTTTCTTTCCTTGCCTTGCAGTCACACTTGACTTAGAACGAATCGCCCAACAGAAAGCTGGAGATTTAGAAGGGCTGTTCCCGGCTCTTGCCTCTGCGGAGAGGAGGTGCTGGGGACAGGCAGGTGCAGGGGAGCAGGCAGCAGAGCTGGGGGCCTGGTCCTGGGGTTAGCTCCGTGGGGCCGGGAGCCCAGCCCTGCTGGCGAAGCCCCCGCGGGGCCCTCCCAGAGGAAACCCCCGCGTGCACCGTAGGATCCTGTCAACTCCAGCTCATTGTCCTGGAACAAAAGTTCTCAGTGCCCCTGCACCGAGCCTTATGTTTAAATACTTAGACTTTCCAGACTCTCTGAAGTCCTGTCCACATCCTCTGCGGGGACCCGCCCCCACCCCATCCTTCTCCCAGACTGGGCGTCAGTCCTGAGAGCCCCTCCTCCCGGGGGGCCGGCCTGGGCCCCCTCTGCTCTGCCAGCTCTCGCCAACAGCAGGAGGGCGGGTGGTCTCTGCTCACTGACAGCGGCCTGGAGCACCGCGGGCTGCTTAGCGGGACACTGGCCACACTTGGACCTCCTGCGTGAAGGCAGAGGAGGGGAGGCTGGGCTGGGGGTGAGCCGATGAGAACCCCTCCCGCGCCGTTTGAGCCGAGCAGAGTAAAGATGAGAACTGAAAGCATTCTTGCCGCCCGTCACATGGCCTGCGCCCAGCCTGTCCCTCCCCGAGTACACAATGGCCATCAGCCAAACCTCTTCCTGCTCATGAGAAGCTGTGTGCCGGGTCAACGTGGATGCCAAGAATCCCACTTACCCAGTCACCTCGAGGCCCCCCTGCCTGCTCGGAGGCGCTCTGCCCCGGTCTGAGCCGATGGGTTTGTTATGCCACAGGAAAAGTATCTTCTTGGTCTCTCTTCTTGGTCTATCTTCTTGGTCTATCTCGGTAGAAATGAAAGCCGAGCCCTTCACCCCCAGAGCCCAGGCCGCTCTGGATCTTGCTCCCCTACAGAGCTGGCTGAGCCAACATTCCTGTGCAGACGGACTCTGGCCGCCAGTCTCCAAGACTGAGCGGTCAGGGCGTGGCTGTTGGAGGGCAGCCTGGACACACGTGGGGTGAAGGAAGCAGCTTCTAGAAACAATTCCCCAGAGAGCCCCAAGGGACATGAATTTCTCCACCATCCTCTGGTCGGGTCTGACCGGCAGCCTGACCCCAAAGAAGTGCTTAGCTCGGGCTCACCCCCAGAGCCCAAGGTGCTGCCTGCCCCCAGGTGCAGAGGGCTGGAGCAGAGAGCACCAGAGGACAAGGTGCAGGGGTAGCCAGGTGCAGCTGAGGGTGCAGGTGGGGCTCCGGACCAGGCTCAGCTCACACTGATGCCGGCTTTCGCAGGTGGCCAGGCCGGGCACAGGCGCGGGGTACTGCTCTGAGCCAGAGGAGGAGGCCAGAGGTCACGCACACACGCACAGCATCAGCCTTTTGAGGGCCTGGGCTTGGACGGCGAGCCATTGTCGGGGTAGCCAGCAGGTCCGAGGACTGTGCTCCTGACTGCACGGGTTGCGTGTCCCCCATGGTCTTCGTCCTACCTGCACAGGCTGCAGCAAGGAGAAAGCAGCGACGTCAGCGTGTGTCACCTGGGGAGGACTCTTTCGATCCTTCTGCTTCCCTCCAGCCTGGCCAGGGATCTGAGCCTCTCCAGACATCAGCCGGCTCTGCACGACCTCCGGAGCCTGCTGTCCCCTGCAAGCATAGCAAACCTGCCGGAGGAAGAATAAACGGCTCGGCCGGGGGAAACCTGTTCTCTCCCCTAGGCAGGGCTCTGACGGCGCTGACATCACACGCTGCTGAGCGGGACAGCGAGCTCCTCCGTCTCTGACCCTGTGCTGGGGCAGGGCATGCTCTTTCCTTTCATGGGGTGAGGGGTGTGAGCCTCCAACCATGGGTGGCACGGTGCAGACCCTGGACCGGGACCCGCAGCCATCAGGAGGTCTAGCCATGCTTGGGCTGCAGCCGCTGCCTTCCCTTCCTTCTTTTAAATCCCATTTGCCTGATTGGGTGTCAAAGAGTTTGCAGGATAAACCTAAGATACCTGCAGGAGTGACCAAGTGATCTCAGGGACAGCAGATAAAATCAGGCCACAAAACAACAGAGAAGCCACGGAGACCGGGGAGCGGAAGGCAGGGGGACTGAGAGTGGAGGACAAGAGACTTGGGACAGGGGAGGGGCTGGGGGCAGAGTCCTGCGGGGCTGGTCCCCGCAACCAGTCTGCTGGCACCTCTGGCCTGGTCCTTGCATCCATTGCCACACGGACAGCTCATTTGTGTCTGTTTATCCTGTGAAGTTCTCAGTCACCCTCTCCTCTGAGATCACCTGTCCACCGATTCCTTTTTTCTCTTTTCCTAGACCTCCTACTGCAGGGGGAGTCTTTCCGTCTATCATCCATCCTTCCGTCCGCTTAGCTTTTCTGCCCTCTTCTGTTTCCCTCTGCTTTCTGGATGAACTCCTCCGTCGTGGTTTCCGGGTGAGCAGTTCTCCCTTTGGCTGTGGCCGGTCCAGGACGTACGCGACCTGCTGAGTTTTCTCAGGAACTGCTGCTCGTGCCCAGGGTTTCGAGGAGGTGGTCCACAGCCACGCTGTTCCCCTCCCACGCTGCCTCTTCCCTGTGGGCGTGGTCCTGCACGCATCTGGAGAAGGCTTTGCGCGCACCTCCTGTGTATGCACCTGCCCCTGACGCTTTCCGTGGCAGGATACGTACTTCCCGTTCATTCTGTGGGCTTCGCTATCGTCAGTCTGAGGGCATCCGCCCGATGCAGGCAGCCGCTGAACTTGCAGGCTCAGCGGGAAGGCCGGGCGTACCCTCTGCCTCGCGGTCATCAGTTCTCCCGGAAACGCTGCACTGCCTCCTCCTGGTGTTGCAGGACGCCCAGTGGGGGCGGGGTGCAGTGCAGGGCGGCGGCCACCAGCCCGGAGACCAGCCGGCCGGGGCTCCGGGCAGTGGTGCTGGCTGGGCTGTGCTCCGGACCCGGCTGCCCTGTCCCCGCGCCCATCCGTGGAATGTTGTTGTTTTGTTTGTGTCCAGTAGGGGTCTTGATGCTGTTTTTGAGTCTATGTCTTTGTAATTAAGATTTTAAGTGTGAGTAACTGCACTGTTGGAAGCAGAGGGAAGAGTTCGCGTGCACGCCCGCTGAACGTGAGTCAGAAGTCCCCACAGTGACTTCCCTCTCTGGAAGGCAGCCGGGCCCAGAGCCAGCCCAGTGCAGTCTGTGCAGACTCGTGGGGCGAGATCCGCCACACACTCTCCCAAATCGAGGGCAGCAGGATTCGCTTCAAGGGAGGAAAATCTCCTCCCGGCTGCTGTGGCTCAGTGGCTGAGCATCGACCCTGCACCAAGAGGTCACCAGTTCGATTCTGGGTCAGGGCACATGCCCAGGTTGTGGGCCTGATCCCCAGTGGGGGGCGTGCAGGAGGCAGCCAGTTGATGTTCTCTTTCATCGATGTTTCTATCTCTCTCTCCCTCTCCCTTCCTCTCTCTCTAAAATCAATAAAGAAAAAATATATTTAAAAGAGAGAGAGAGGAAAATCTCTCTTAAGAGCTTGCGTGCTCTGACCACTACACCTTAAAAGGCACAAACGTCCAGCTCCCGACATCCGCAGGCTCCAGGACCAGGACATGGCGTTGACCCATAACTGCAGACTCGGCGTGGTAAGCTCAGATCCAAACGAGGTGCACGGTGGGCAGGGGCACCGGGTCCCAGTGACGTCCCCCGGGCAGCGCGTGGCGGGCAGAGTGTGCAGTCAGGGAACAAGGTGCTCCAGCCCTCTGGAAGGCTGACACTGCTCGGACAGGGACTCCTGGGCCCCGCAGGGGTCCCCCTCCTCCCACAGTCTTTCAGAAGCTCCAACTCTGCGTACCCCCCACCCCTCTCTTCTCTCTCAAAGTCCTCGGTCCCCCTGGGTGTTCTGAATCCCACCCTGCGGGTCCATGGGGAGTGCACCCCAGCCCTCTGTGCTGCTGCTGCTAGAAGCTGAGTGTGCTCCTTCTCAGTGCCAAGCGGCCTCTGAGGTCACCGCCGTCCCGACCAGCGCGCCTCTGAGTGGGAAGGATTGTACGTGCCTGAAAGCGTGGGTGAGTTTGGGGTCACGGAGGCGTGTGGGCCAGCAGGGGGGGGGGGTGCTTCGGGACAGACGGCCCTGGAACCCGTGTGCAGGAGTGACCTGCGCCCTGTGTGCCTGCAGGATGGGCACAGGAGAGGGGACGGGCTGTCCTTACGGGTCCGCTCGCCCCCTCCAGCACTCCCCCACCCGCCTCCCATCGGAGAGACTCAGCATCAAGTCGGGGTGCCCAGACGGCCGGCCGGAGGACTGAGGCGGACACACCAGCTCGGGTCCACTCCCGATGGCCCCGGGAGCCGGCTCCCGGCACCCGTCTGCCACCCAACAACCATTACGTTTTGTAAAATACGTCTGCTGAGAATTAGTTTCAAAATCTTTTTGGTGACTTGAAACCTTCAAACGATACTCGGTTCAGTTAAAGGGTGGATATTCGCTAAGCGCTCAGATCACTTGAAAACAGGATGAAACATGGACACATTAATGCCTCAACCGAGTCCATCTACGTTGGCTTCTTGTCACAGAGACCAAAGATATCTGGCTCTGTTGGTAAATGTGCTCTTTGCCAGACTGAAAGCAAACTGTGATTCCCGGAGAAGTATATGCTTCTAGGAATCACGAAACGATGTATTCACAGATGTGCTGACCTCCTACAGTGTTGGTTTGGGGCAACTAGTTCACAATTGCCTACCTTCTGGTTCTCACTAGATACTAAAGTTACGAAGGGTTAAATTTGGGCAACATTTTCCCTGCTGCTGTGTGGGCCACTCTGAACCTCCCCTGGACACCTGGTGACATCCCAGGGTCACTGAAACTACAAACCAGCAAATTCTGCAAAACCATCCTCACACCGCCGTCTAACGATGCTTTGAGCCCAACACCTAGAACATCTTTAAAAATTGATTTTAGAGAGAGACAGACAGAGAGACAGACATTGATTTGTTGTTCCACCTATTTATGCATTCTTGTATGTGCCCTGACTGGGAGTCGAACCCTCAACCTTGGGGTATGGGGACGACGCTCTAACCAACCGAGATACCTGCCGGGGCTAGAAACCTTCTTGCCCAACAGCTCTCTGGACTTAAAGTTGGAGTTTGGAGTTTGCTCTCATCATGAACGTTTTTGTTTCCCGGGGAGGGCTGCTCATGAAACGCCCGGCTGCCCGTTGCCCAGGGGTCCGTGGGCGCGCAGGGCTGGGGGCAGGGCTGGATGGGAAAGTAAGGCTCAGGGCACAGGGCAGCTTTCTGAGGCGATGAGAGGGTCCTAATTCATGGGGTGATGGATGTATGCACACGAAATACGGGTTCCTGGGCTCCTCCCCAACCCTTCCCTCTCGGCTTGGCACTGGGCTGGGCAGAGCTCGGGACTCAGAAAGGCAGGGCGTTGTCCCTGCCTGGGCACTGTCCCCACACCTTCCCAGGCCGCCCCCGCCCTTTGCAGTCGGCAGTGAGGCGCTGCTCTGTGCTTTGGTGACCACACCGCTTGTCGTGCGAATCAAAGCGGCACACGGACCGCATGCGTCCCAGCGCACCCCGCCCGGAGAAGCCGCCTGGGCCCCAGTCCGCACGCTGCCGCCACCGCCCACCCGGCGTGACTGCGGCCCGGGTGCTAGGAAAACTGCTTGAGAAGAGTGCCCCGAAAGCGTCCGTAAGGACTGCAGCCACCCAGCGCGTGCCACCAACCACCTCCGCCGCTTGTGCCCAGCACGGGAAGCAGCAGCGCTCGGGCCTCGCCAGCTGCCCTGTTTGCCCGGCTCCCGCGTGGCACACACGCTCTTCGGGCAAACGCCTGCCCAGCGCGCTGGTCCCTGCTCTCTGAACGCTGGAGCGTCCACTCGCCCTTCTTCCCAGTTTGGGGTCCACGGGGCCGGGGTTCCACAGCCTCTGGACCTCGAGGAAAAGTGCTTCGAAGAGGAGCTCTGGCCCCGCGGCCACACTGCGTCTCGGCGCAAATGCTTGTCTGCCCCCCGCCTGCCTCGGAGGAAGACCAGCCTGGGGAGTGGACCCGTTCACACCGAAGGCAAAGAGGCTTCAGAGAGTGCCAGCCAACCTGGGGGAGGAGACAACAGGGCCCGTGAGCAGACAGGTGGTGGGCTGGTGGCCTGGGAGTCAGGTGCTGTTCCTGAGTCTGGCAGGGCCGCCCGGCTGTGGAGAACGCAGACAGCTTCCCTGAGCGCCTGCAGGGCCCACCTGGACGAGCCAGAGGGTGCGTGGGCCCAGCCGAGCGGGGCTGCGACGGAGGCGGCACAAACACAGGCTGTTAGGTGAGCAGCTGGCAGAGCCCTGCTCTGTGGCCCGGCCCTCCTGCCGGGACAGCGCCTAGGGGCTGGGTGTCAAGGGGGCGGGCTCCCCTGGCTTCTGGCGGTCCCTGCGGTCAGCGTGCCCCGATCCTCGCCGTCATCTTCCCACGCATCTCCCCGTTGCTTGTCTCTGTGCAAACCTCCCCCTTTCCCGAGGACACGCTCCGCACTGCAGGGGCCCAGGAGACTCGGCATGGCTGCATCATGCCTCCATCTGCCAGGACCCTATTTCCAAATCATCACATCCTGAGGTTCTGGGCGTTAGGACTTCAACATACAAACTTGGGGGATACAAGTCAACCCCAAGAGGCCATGAGCTTCCAGATCCCCGCACACCAGCCCCACGAACCCGTCGCCGAGGGTTGTCTTTGGGCAGGATCAGTCTCTGGTCTCTCCCACCCTCGAGGCTGGGCACGGGGGCCGAAGGACCAGCTCCGTCCGACACGTGGGTCTAAGCCCACGCTGCCCCTCTCCGTGGAACGCCTGTTGTTCTGAAGAACGTCTGCTCCCCTGACGGGCTGCTCCCTTCCAGCTGTGCGCCGAGCCAGCGTCTGGTCGACCGCCAGCCGGGAGCTGCAGTCGGCGGGAGTCTGCAGACCGTGTGTCCACGCTTCCGTCCACTCAGGGGCCGCTCTGATGAGCAGGGTAGGAGATTCTTCTGCGTGGAGGTCGTTCCAATGCTGAGCGTCTGCCTGAAAGGAAGGGACGGTACTGGATCGGCCGTGAGCCTGGGTGACATGGCCACGTTCCGACCGGGCCACCGTGCGAAGGAAAAGCTGTGAGCACCGCTCTCGCAGGTTCGCTTTCGATCCCCACTGCGGGGACAGGAAAATGACGTTTCCTCGACTCTTCTAAATTCTTCAGCTGGACTAGTAATCCAAGTAACATGAAATGGAGTAACAGGAGAAAAGGACCAAATGTATTACCTAAGTACATATGGGGGTTCACCAAGATATGGGACCCCAGGACAGACGGGGCAGTTGAGGTTTATTTATAGAACAGGTCCTATGGGACAGGTCCTGTGACCGTCCCCCGCCTCTCCCCATTCTTGTTACGTAACCTCGTGTTTTTACCGGTATCCGTAAGTCCCACGAGGAGAGCTGAGACAGCAAATTCAGTAAGTTTTCCCAAACTGCGTTTTGTTTGTCAAGCTAGCAGTTATATTTCTTTGTATCTTTTTTTTTTTAAACTTGATCTTCCTATAGGTACCACAAAAACAGCTATTTACAGTGAAATCTCTAGAACTTTCCCAATATAGAACTTTGTCCAGCCCTGGCCAGTTTGGCTCAGCGGTGAGAGCGTCGGCCCGCAGACCAATGTGTCACAGGTTCAATTTTGGTCAAGGGCACGTACCTCACTTGCGGTTTGTCCCCAGCCCTGGTCGGGGTCGTGCAGGAGGCAACCAGTCGATGTGTCCCTCTCACGTCGATGTTTCTCTCTCTCTCCCTCTCTCCCATTCTATCTGAAGATAAATAGAAAAATATCCTTAGGTGAGGATTTAAAAAAAAACTGTTTCCAATTCAAAGTATCCGCTGTCTGGCCAGTGGCCTTAGGCCTGTTCATTTCAGTAGCGACTCAAACCAGGAAGCCTCTCACGGTTTGCGCAAGGAAGCACGTTCACTGCCAGGGCAGGCGGAGACGGGGACTCCCAGGCCACCGCAGGAAGGGCACGGAGGCTGAGACGAAAGTCCCGAGAGCTGGACAGCTGGACGGGAAGTCGCAGAGCGGACAGGCCACTGGCTGCTGCTGCCTGAAGCCCGGCTGTGACTGGCTGCCCGCTGCTGCTGGGCACACCTCCGGGGCCAGAGCAGAACCGGGCTCGCGACCAGCACCAGACCAACGGCGACACAGAAACCAGGGGCCGTTCCAGGGGGAGCAGGAGCAACCGAAAACAAGTCTTCAAACCTTTCCCAGAATCACGTCTGCCCCAGAAACCACGCTCACTGATGTGCTCCCGCGAATCCTAATTTAGAAAGAGGGGAAAAAAGATTCTCCCTGTTCTTGCTCCACAGACCCCCTCCCAGGGATTCTGGGGTGCTGACACATGGGGGTCTCTTATCTTGCACCAACCTGTGTCGGACGCCGGGGTCTCGTCTCCGGCCGTCCCAAAGCGACAGTCTGCAGCTCTGAGTTCTCCGCGTGGCTTTGCCCAAACTGGGGGCAGACATGAACCCCCTTCTGCCCTTCTGAGGTCTTCGGGCTGCACTAACGACCATACTGATCACGTACGTACAATGTCTCCTAAGAATGCGGGACCTGAGGACAGGGGAGCATCGAGGCTTGTGTGCCCTGGAGAGCCAGGGAGAGGAGCGGAGGGGGGCCGGGGGCTTCAGAGGCGGGAAAGGAATTCACAAGAAGATGGAGAAGCAAAGGTTCGGCACGTAAATGTTGGGGGGCCATCTCGAACGAGGGGACGCAGGGAGCACGTGGGTCAAGGACTTGCCAGGTTCCTGTCTACCGCGCCGAGGTCACAGCAAACCGTAGTGACCTGTGAGGCCAGCTCCTTCCTGTCTGAATCTCATAGGCAGGTGGGGGGAGGTCCAAGTTCTTCCTGTTTTCTATTTCTTTTTTTATCCTCACCCGAGGACATTTTTCCATTTTTTGTTCAGATAGAGCGGGAGGGAGAGAGAGAGAAACATCAATGTGAAAGGAACACATCGAATGGCTGCCACCTGCACGACCAACCAGGGCCGGGGACAAACTGCAACCGAGGTACATGCCCTTAGCGGGAACTGAACCCCGGTCTCTGTGGACCGCAGGCCAATGCTCTCACCACTGAGCCAAACCGGCCAGGGCCTGTTTTCTATTTCTTAAAGGTAACCAGCTTAAAATAACCGATGTTTCAAAAGAGGCCTGTCTGGGCCAACAGCCTCCCTCCCCACTCAAGGCCCCCAAGGCCTCAGGGCTGCTGCGGATGTTACACTTTTGTCTGAAAAGTGATGACAAAGTCTGTCCCGTGACTCTTTCCTCCGGCTAATGCTACATGCTGTTTCTTTTCTCGGCCTTGCCCGGTGTGATGGACAGACGACCAGGGTGACTCCCTGGCATGTCTCCGTCCTGGAGGACGGGGCGGCCGGCCAGACCTGCCGCCCTCCCCTGGGGCAGTGAGCAGCCCCGGGAGCACCGTCTGAGTGAGCTGCCCCAGGAAGGCCTGGTGCTTCTGGGTCGCCCCTCCGTGCCCGGGCCGTGGAGCAGAGGCCGCGACCATGAGATGGCACTGGGCACGGCTCCCACACCAGCTCCGGCCTGGCTGCTCGGACCCCGTGGGGCACAGAGGAATGTCGAGGTGAAGCCTTGGTTGGTCTGATGAGCACATTACGGTTTACAGACCCTCCCAGGTCTGGCGTGACCTTCCTGACCCAGACGCCAAAAAGGAACAAGAGCAGAATGACCTTGACTTTCCCTCAGGTCACCAAGGCTCCTTAGCCCCTTCTTTCCTCGGCCCAGCAGAGTTCTGCCATTTTATTAAAAGAAAAAAAAAAAAATATATATATATATATATATGAGGCAGGGGGCAAGAAAGTAATGTCAATTTGTCGTCTACTTATTTCTGCACTCATTGGTTGCTTCTTTTATGTGCCCTGATCGGGGACTGAACCTGCAACCTTGGCGTATCGGGACGACACTCTCGCCCACTGAGCCTCCCAGCCAGGGCTTGTTGGGCCTCTCGCTACGTGAGAACAGGCCGCTGCACGTCTGTTAGTGGCAGCGTGGGCAGAGTAGCCGGAAGCAGAGGACACATGGGGTCCGGTCGCAGGGCCTCGGCTACGCTTCTCCGAGAGCATCTGTGACGGGTGCCGCCTGCGGCCCAAGCCTCCTGAGGACTGGCCGGGGGGGGGGGGGGGGCACAAGCAGACCACAGGCTGCAGGGTGCTGTGCAGGCCACTCGCGGGCAGGGGAGGGCCAGGGAGCGAAGCCGTCAGAGGTCATGAGGCTGACGGACGACTTCCACCGTTCTGTTAAGGACACGACTGCCCAATAACCAGCACCCCATCCCCGTTCTGACCTGAGTCAAGGTGGTCAGCCAAGTGGACAAAATACAGACTTTGAAACAAAGCCGCTTCCCGTTTATTCTGGGCTTTCTATCAGTTGGGCCAATGCACAATCCATTTGCTTAAACCAATTCGGCCTGATTTCTGGTGAGCAGGCAGCAGAAGGCGTGGGGACGGGACAGACACTTCCCAACAGCTCAGGGGGCCTGGGCGAGGAGCCGCCCCACCCCCGCAGGGACTGTGCCGAGCGAGTCAGTGGGCAGCGATGCGCCAGAGGCTCCATTTGTACTTTTTATTTATCAGCAGACAGACCAGTGTCCTTCCAGTTAGGCTCAGGAGTGGAGGGTTAGTGAGAGAAGGCAGGAGATGGCGTCAGGGTTACAGTGCTCAGAAAAGGACACCACCACACAGGGATCAGGAAGGGGGGCCCTCAGGTGTCAGACACCCGACAGGAACTCCAGGTGTGCCGGACCCTGAACCGGAGGCACAGGCGGGGCCAGGACCAGCACGGCCCCCGTTCAGCCCGAAGAGATGTCAGCCAGCCTCTCTGCAGAGCCTGTGCCGAGACCGACAGCACGCTGGCTCCGGAGAGGCCAGAGGACGCTCAAGGTCACTGTGTGCAACTGCCCGGGGGAGGTCACGACACCCCTGGGCCAGGCTGGTGCTCCCGCGTCCATTCCTGGACGCCTGTGTGGGCTGTGACAGGAAGGAGACAGACTGCTTTCCGGAGTGATCAGAAGAGGCTGTGGGCGAGGCGGGCGGCTTCGGGGCACCCGGGCGCGGGCGCTCAGTCCTGCAGCTGAGACACCTCGTACAGGTATGCAGCCAGCACCTTGGTTCCTTCTATGTAGTTGTGCCTGATGGAGAACAGTCACCGTGGGCTGGTGGCCCAGGCCCAGCACACCTGTGGCATTCTGAGGGACCCCACTGTCCTGCTTCAGTCGGGGCACCTGGCTCTAAGTGCAGGTCCAGCACAACTGTCCCCGCAGGGACCGGCCCTGGCCCTGGTCTCATCGAACATACGGGACTCACCTCGCCCGACTATGAAAGGACCTGCCTTGACCATGGTCCACCCTGTCTGTTTGGAGCAGAAGCCTCCGCCTCGTGTCCTAGGACCCAGGTCTCAGTCCCTCCCCTCCGCCTTCCACGCGGCTCTCTGCCTGGCTCAGTCCCTGACCGCAAGGCGGCCCTGCTTTCTGCTCCCCTCAGCGGTTTCCCCTCCTCCGGGCCTCCCTGCCGTGGGGGTCTCTCCGAGAGAACTTGCGTCTGTTGGTACAGACCCCACCACCTCTCCGTGAGCCAGGAACGTGGGCAGTGGCTGTGAGCCAGCAATGGCGCGAGGCCTCCGGGGGTTGCAGGGAGCAGACACACCGACCACTGGGCGACCGCACAGCGAACAACGGCCACGTCCACGGCGGGGCTCACGAGGCCTCCTCCCTTGCCGCCGGGCGGGCGGTGTGGAGGAGGGAGGGCTGCCTGGCTTCCGCCGGACTTCTCACTGGGCCCCCAAGGAGACAAGCCCAGATTCAAGACCAAGGGCCCGGGGCCTCACCTGTTGAGCTTCTCATTCTGGGAGTGGGCACCATCGTCCGCGGACCCCACAGGCAACAGCATGACGCTCCTGCCTGTGGCCTCCTGGAAAGTCAGGGTCACAGGGATGCTGCCGCCTTCCCGGGTTAAGTCCGGCTCAACACCAAACACTAGGTGAAGGAGAGAAGAAATGTGAGCCTGGGGGCGGGACCCCCAGACGCACTACCTGCAGCAAGAGGTGACGCTGTGCAAGGCTGGGCAGCAGCCCACGGAGGCCGGCTGGCGCTGCAGCCCCGGCCCACACGGTGGGGCCGAGCCCGGGCGGATGCACCGAAGGCGCTGGCGTCACCCCACGGGGTTCCTGACCTGTCTTCAGAGCTCTTCTCCCGGCCATGTAGTGGGGGTGGTTGAAGTCGGACACCCAGGGCTTCCCGCCATGGCCCATGTACACCTTGAACTTGTTGGGGCTCTGCAGCTCAGCAAACTTCTTAGTCAAGTACTTTGTAACCTGAACCACAAACAGAAGAGACATAATGTATCATCAAGCTCAGCGCCTGATCCACGGCGGGTGATCTATTTACTCTACAGCAGGCCCACAGTGACTCCACCACGAGTCTACAGCGAGTCCACAGCAGGTCTGCGTGCGTCTAGAGTCTACAGCGAGTCCACAGCAGGTCTGTGTGCGTCTAGAGTCTACAGAGAGTCCACAGCAGGTCTGCGTGGGCCTAGAGTCTACAGCGAGTCCACAGCAGGTCTGCGTGCGTCTAGAGTCTACAGCGAGTCCACAGCAGGTCTGCGTGGGTCTAGAGTCTACAGCGAGTCCACAGCAGGTCTGCGTGGGTCTAGAGTCTACAGCGAGTCCACAGCAGGTCTGCGTGGGTCTAGAGAGTCTACAATGGATCTACGATGGGTTTCATTTTCTGCTGCTAAACATGATTTGCATGACTACAGAAAAAGGGATTTTATCAAGAATTAAAAGGCAGGTAAAGGTAGTTTTAATATTGAGCACTTCACCCTTTTGTAGATGTTCTCATATGATGATAATATTTAAACCAAGTCTGAAAATATGTTCTTTGACTTGCTTTATAAAAAAGATCGTATCCAGGCCCTGGCCAGTTTGGCTCAGCGGTTAGAGTGTCGGCCTGCAGTCCAGAGAGACCCGGGTTCGGTCCCTGCTAAGGGCATGTACCTCGGTTGCAGTTTGTCTCCAGTCCCAGTTGGGGTCGTGTGGGTGGCAGCCACTCGATGTGTCTCTCACATGGATCTTTCTCTCTCTCTCTCTTCCTCTCTCTCCCTCCCACTCTATCTGAACAAAAAATGGAAAAATGTCCTCTGGTGAGGGAAAAAAAGAGTAAAAAAGATCGTATCCAGAACAAAAATGCAACCAGGTGCCAATCCAGACACCCCATGATGACAAAACTCCAGTCCTCATGTCCAGGCCCACCGGGAGGCCCCCGATCCCGACCTCCAACCCCCATCTGGGCGCTGCTCCTGGGAGCCTGCGGGCTGCACCACCAGAACCGCCCTCCCCTCCGTCCTCAGCACGGCCCGGGGCGGCTCCCTTGCTCTCTCAGCACCACACATCGGACCCAAAGTCAGCATCTGGCCCTGAAGCCCTAGGACGAGGTCAAAGGTCAGGGTTGGCACGCCTCAGCCATGACAAAGGTCACTTACATTTGTGACGTTTCCATATGGCCTTTACCTTTGGTCAGTTTCTGAACTGCTTATTCTAGTAATTATGGGGCGGGTCAGAGCTGAGAGGTGGGCACATGTGGGTTTAGGGTCTGTGTTTTTCAGTCGTTTGGAGGAAAGTTTTCGGCCCCCAAGTCTCTGCCGGTGCACAGCCGCCCCTCCCGCGCCCCCGCCCCGCGCCACACGTGCCTGCTCGCTGACCACCTCAGGAATCATGTTGGGCACCAGCCTGATGGAGAACTTGCCGACCACCTTCCTGGGAATCACGGTCTTGGCCCCTGAGCCGGAGAAGGCGCCTTCGATCCCGTGCAGGGAGAGGGACGGGTACCGCCATCTGTGCATCAGGATGTCCTCCTGCAGAGAGCGGCAGGGCGGGTCAGGGGACCGCACTCTGCTTCCGGAAGAGACTGCAATGTCACCTGGGAGGCCCCTCAGACACAGCGGTGCGGGTCGGCACAGCGCAGGAAGGAGGTGCAGAACCCCGGGGCTGGTGGTGGAGCCGCCCCACGAGGGGGCTCTGCGCTCTCACCGCCCGAGTGCAGCCTGTCCACGCCTCCAGCAGCTCTGGACCACTGGGACTAACAAGACGGATGACGAGAGCCAGGGTTCCCGCCAGCTCCGTGGAATCCAGGGCAGGTGCACCGTCCCACAGACACCAAGGCTCCTGGGGGCCGGCGGTGCCATGAGGGAGAGGGAGGCACAGCCCAGGCCACCTGCAGACCCTCCCTGGAACCAAGGGCACGGAACCTGGGACGAGCCACTGTGCTGAGCCCACGACCGTGGACAAGCACCGCCCCTGCCGAGGGACGGGCACAAGGCAGCCTTCTGCCTCTCAAGCACGTGACTGACGCGGCCCCAGCGGGCCCAGCTGCTCAGCAGCGCGGATGGGAAAGGGGAGGACCCGTGGCCCGAGCAGCTGGTAGGCAGACACCTGACCGAGCCACTTCACCCTTGGGGAGTTCTTGTTTGTGAACCAAAGAGCTCAGTGACACTTTGAAGAATACACGTGGCCCGAAAGTGACACCTTACATAAGAGCCAGCATTGATTTGAAGGCAGCAAAGCAGAAGGAAATAGAAGTTGGTTCAGAACCCACATTTTCCCAGCCTCATCCCTCCCTGGGACTCTGACCTGGTCCACGGCATCAGGGCCCAACAGACTACCTCCGGGGGGGCCTTCTCTGCTCCACCTGCTCAATTCTTCCTGACGCATCCTGAGTCTAAGACAGCCCCTCACCCACCTCCGCGTCCCCACGACTCCAGCTCAGGGGTCTGTCCCCATAGCAGCCTGACTGCTCCTGACTTCACCACCTCAGCGCCACCAGCAGCCCCGCCACTCTGTCCGAGTGCGGTCCCAGCCGCTCCGCCCTCTCGAAGCTGACCACGAGCCCGCCTGGGAGAGCACACAGCTGTGGCGGGTCGGAACCTTTCCGCCAGGCATTGCAGGGCTAACCCCAGGCCTTTCCTAGCTCGCCCTGCCCCCAAACAGGGACAGGTCAGGCCCTGCTCCAGGCTCTGACCCTCCCGCCTCCCACGGACCTTACTGCCCTCGCAGGGACTCAGAGCTCTGGACATCCACGCGGCCCACACACGCTTTTCCACGTCTCTGCCCGTCTGAGAGATGACGGGCAAGGGCCAAGCCGGCCTGTACTCCGTGTCCCAGGGCCCGTGGCGGGAGTTCAGTTAACACTGGCTGAACGGAGCGCGAGCTCACACCGACCTCAGACCAGGAGGGGACGAACCTGCAGTCACAGCACAGCCCCCACGCGCTCGGAGAACGTTCGGCGCTGTCCGCACCGGCCATGGCTCTGCCAGGCAGGCCTCCCACCCCTCTGCCTAGGCTGGACACTGTCCTACGTATCCAGCGGGCGAGAGCGACCTGTCTCGAGACTCTCTGCTCCAACCCCAGGACCTACACCGTGACCAGTCAATGCCTGACACTCTAACACCTCTCAGCACCCAGCCCGGGAGTGTCTGCTTCTGGGGTCTGCACCATCTGATGGCTCAGGTGCCCCCAGAAATGCCCGGATCTCTGTCAGCTCCTCTGCTCCCATGGGGATCCCTGCACAGGGCCCGTGGGGAGGCTCGGTGGACAGACAGGTCCCAGTGTGGCCAGGCAGCACCTTGCAGCCATGCAGCAGGGTCTGCACCCCCACGTCCTTGGCGTACTCCTCCAGGTCGAAGTCGATCTGCTTGTAGAGCCCCAGCTCCTCCTCCGTCACAGAGGCCACAGCCTCGTTGATGCCAGGGATGAGGATCTTCCCCTTCCGGTCCACCAAGCAGCCTGGAGGAGAGGGGCAGGGGTGAGTACTCAGCATGCAAGCACGGGACCCCAGACCAGGGAGCCCAGCCCGGGAGCCAGCCCGGGGAGCCCAGCCCGGGGACCCCAGACCAGGGAGCCCAGCCCGGGGAGCCCAGCCCAGGGAACCAGCACAGGAAGCCCAGCCCGGGGAGCCCAGACCAGGGAGCCCAGCCCGGGGAGCCAGCCCGGGGAGCCCAGCACGGGGAGCCCATCCCGGGGAGCCAGCACGGGGAGCCCGCTGCGGCCACAGAGCCGGCAGGGCCAGGAGTCCTGGTGCAAGGGCCTGAAGGTGCCGCTTCCTGGGCACACGTGACTGCTCAGATACTTGAGCTCGAGTCACTTAACTACCATATCACCCCAGTGAGGTGGACAGTACCACCTTCCCATTTTAAGACAAAGGGACAGATATGAAAGGGAAGGGAGCTACTGATGGTCCCAGACCAGGACACAGTGAGCAGAGCGGCCTAGGCCTGCTCCAACAACCACAACACTCCAACACGGACACTGCTTTTCAATGCGCATTCCACCAGGAACTCGCTGCTCCCAAGCTGAGGAGGAACTGGAGAGGGGACAGAGTAGACTCCAGTCCCAGGAGCACAGATGGCAGCGAGGCAACAGGAGCGAGGAAGAGGGAGCTGGGCTCTCACTCACAGGCCTGACCACGCAGGAGCCCGTGCTGTGGCAGCTACAACGTCAAACAGATGAGCAGATGCCATCTGAGAGGTGACACACAACGTGTCCAGAGAAAGAACAGCTGTGTGACTCTAGGGGGTGGGCCAGACAGGGCCCGATGGAGCAGGGGTGTGGAGCTGGGTCATGGAGGCAAGGCGGGGTGCGCTGACACAGGAGACGGGTGCGAGGAAGAGGGAGGTGGAAGCCATGCCCAGCCTTCCACAGGGAACCAGGAGCAGAGGGCGGGAGTGCGAGGGACAGGAAGTGGTTGACGGAGACCTGGGAAGCACCGGATGCCAACAATAGCCTGGAAACACCCCAGCCCTCTCCCAAGTCCCCCAGTACCTACGGAACAGCGCTTACCCATCAACGTGATGAGATCTGTCATGGCCTCATGCACCGAGCCCCCGTACACCCCAGAGTGCAGGTCTTTGTCACTGCATTCCACCTGCACGGAACAGAGGCCGCTCTGTTACCTGCTGAGTGGGACCTGTTCTCACCATGTGACAGTAAACTGAACTAAAGTCATTCACAAGACCCGACAGGCAATCTTTAAAATCAAAATTTGCTTTCTCAATGAGCAAAGCAAGGCATTTCCTAAATTATAAAACTTGAAACACCACAAAATACTTTTGGAAATACTAACCACAGGTAAAGTAAGAATAACGACCACAGGTGAACTAGGAACACTGAGCACAGGTGAACTCGAAATACTAACCACAGGTAAATTAGGAATAACGACCACAGGTGAACTAGAAACACTGAGCACAGGTGGACTAGGAGCGCTGAGCACAGGTGGACTAGGAGCGCTGAGCACAGGTGGACTAGGAGCGCTGAGCACAGGTGGACTAGAAACGCTGAGCACAGGTGGACTAGGAGCGCTGAGCACAGGTGGACTAGGAGCGCTGAGCACAGGGACTAGGAGCGCTGAGCACGGGTGGACTAGGAGCGCTGAGCACAGGGACTAGGAGCGCTGAGCACAGGGACTAGGAGCGCTGAGCACAGGTGGACTAGGAGCGCTGAGCACGGGTGGACTAGGAGCGCTGAGCACAGGGACCAGGAGCGCTGAGCACAGGTGGACTAGAAACACTGAGCACAGGTGGACTAGGAGCGCTGAGCACAGGGACTAGGAGCGCTGAGCACAGGTGGACTAGGAGCGCTGAGCACGGGTGGACTAGGAGCGCTGAGCACAGGGACTAGGAGCGCTGAGCACAGGGACTAGGAGCGCTGAGCACAGGTGGACTAGAAACACTGAGCACAGGTGGACTAGGAGCGCTGAGCACGGGTGGACTAGGAGCGCTGAGCACAGGTGGACTAGGAGCGCTGAGCACAGGTGGACTAGGAGCGCTGAGCACAGGTGGACTAGGAGCGCTGAGCACAGGTGGACTAGGAGCGCTGAGCACAGGTGGACTAGGAGCGCTGAGCACAGGTGGACTAGGAGCGCTGAGCACAGGTGGACTAGGAGCGCTGAGCACGGGTGGACTAGGAGCGCTGAGCACAGGGACTAGGAGCGCTGAGCACAGGGACTAGGAGCGCTGAGCACGGGTGGACTAGGAGCGCTGAGCACAGGTGGACTAGGAGCGCTGAGCACAGGTGGACTAGGACTGCTCAGCACAGGTGGACTAGGAGCGCTGAGCACAGGTGGACTAGGAGCGCTGAGCACGGGTGGACTAGGAGCGCTGAGCACGGGTGGACTAGGAGCGCTGAGCACGGGTGGACTAGGAGCGCTGAGCACGGGTGGACTAGGAGCGCTGAGCACGGGTGGACTAGGAGCGCTGAGCACAGGTGGACTAGGAGCGCTGAGCACAGGTGGACTAGGAGCGCTGAGCACAGGGACTAGGAGCGCTGAGCACGGGTGGACTAGGAGCGCTGAGCACAGGTGGACTAGGAGCGCTGAGCACAGGTGGACTAGGAGCGCTGAGCACAGGTGGACTAGGAGCGCTGAGCACGGGTGGACTAGGAGCGCTGAGCACGGGTGGACTAGGACTGCTCAGCACAGGTGGACTAGGAGCGCTGAGCACAGGTGGACTAGGACTGCTCAGCACAGGGACTAGGAGCGCTGAGCACAGGGACTAGGAGCGCTGAGCACAGGTGGAAGAAGCTGCAGGGCAACCACCCTCGCACTCAGAGCCTTTTCCAGAGGCTTCAGGAAGACCCTGCACCTAGCTACGGGAAAGGGTACAGTTACCAGGAAAAAGAGCCAGTAGGACCCAGAGCCGGAGGACCTGGGTCAGGCCCCGCCCACTGCCGCGCTGTGGAGCAGGTGAGGCAGGAGGGGCTCTGGGCATCGCCTGTGGCACGGAGCAGACTGCTCGCCCCCCCAGCTCCTGTGTCCTCGGGCTATTCACACAGCAGGCAGGACGGTGCCTGGCAGTGAGCACTCAGCGCACCAACTACGTTCACTCGCGGCACTTCTGAGTCCATAAACCGCCCTCACGCAGTTTCATCACCAGTCACCTGTGCAGCACGAGCCCCTACCCTTCTCTGTAGACCGAGGCTCAGCCCACCAGACAGGGAGTGGCAGGTCTGTCCTCCTGGGCTTGTGTGTCGAGTGCATCGTCTCAACTCCCTCAAGGTCGGTCACTCAGTCAAGAAATAAAAGCTTAAGGGTTGAAATATGAACACTTTCACTTTTAAAACGCTCTGCAAGCCTGTCTTCCTACATGGACTTGGACTTGATCTTTGCTCAGCTGCTGCAAGACAGCGGAGGCTGCCTGGTGGCACGTGCCTGGAGCACCATGCTGGTTCCTGCCACGCAGGGGTGGGCACCACAGGCCTTCGCCCACTTCCCGCTCCTGCAGCTTCGGGCCAGGGAGGGGCGCTGGCTACGGGCGGGGGGACCCGGACCATGCGGGGCTGGGCGTATACCTCAATGAAAAAGTAGCAGATGCCCCTGAGGCCGTAGGTGATGCACGGCTTCTTCTTCCCCAGCCAGTAGTTGTCGGAAATGCAGACGTAGTCCACGTCCTTAAAGAAAGTGTCTTTCTGGGCAAAGATGAGCTCGTCCAGGCCCTCGGAGCCCGACTCCTCCATGCCCTCCAGACAGAAGCGGACGTTGACAGGGATTTCCTGTGACAGGGAAGGAGTGTCAGCAGGCGTCCACCTTTCATGCACCTTCAGTTCTGAGGCGACAGACAGGAAGTCACCAAATATTTAAAAAGCACCACTGTCCCCAGCCCAAGCACTCTGGTGGGCTGTGTGGGGCCCACAGTGACCCCCGCCCCCAGCTGCTGGGCTGTCGGGGAACAAGCCTGGCTCGGCCACAGCTGCGCCCTCCCTGAGAGCTCACAAGCTGTCCGGCAGTGACCAGTTTCCGCGGCACAGGGATCTCCGCGCTCACCCGGCGGCCAGGAGTCTGGGGCGGAGCCTCACAGCTCTCCGAAGGCCAGGGCACAAATGCACCTGTGGCCACCGCCGGTGCGAAGAGGGAAGGGCGCCTCTTGGTGATTTAGGAGGTGCTCTGCACTGTGACCTCCGGCTGCCCACAATAAAGGCCTATCTGTCATTTGCTTTCCAGGTCTCGCCAGTGCTGGGCGGCGAGGCAGGTGACCTCCACACGGGAGAAACGAAGAGCAGGCTGCGGCACGGGAGGGCCCTTACTGGGGATCTCGTCTGCACAGCCCTGTTCAGAACCGCCGGGCCAGTGCGGCTCATGGCACAGCGCCCCTCCCCCCTCTGCCCCTCGGGTGGCACCCTCCTCAGGACCTTGGCTTATGCGGCAGTAAGTGCGGCTGCTCCGGGTGGCTCTGTTCTGCACAGGGCCCCTCCCCTCAGTGGCCCCCGGTCCCTGAGCCCAGCACGTGGCGGCCGTGGGAGCCAGTGGTTTTGGGTCTCAGCTCCCTCTTGTCCAAAATGGGTCCCTGGGCCAGAGGGTCCGGGACCCTAATCAGCTGTACCATTTCCCTCCGACAAAAATGCTTCTCTTATAAATCTGATTTCATGACACAAGATAAAAGCGAGATGCAAAACCCATCTGTACACTTGATCACAATTAGGTTAAAAATAGCTGAAAAGATCAGTAACAAAATATCAAGCCTCGCAGGGTTGAGGTTCTAAGCAACTTTTTTCTACTTCTCTCTGTACTTTACAAACTTTCAACAGGAGTATTTTCTAGTTCAGGAAATATATTTTTAAAAAGAAAATGTATTGCCCTGGCCGGTTTGGCTCAGCGGTTAGAGCGTCGGCCTGCGGTCTAGAGAGACCCGGGTTCAGTTCCCGCTAAGGGCACGTGCCTCGGTTGCAGTTTGTCCCCGGCCCTGGTTGGGTTGTGCAGGTGGCAGCCACTCGATGTGTCCCTTTCACATTGATGTTTCTCTCTCTCTCCCTCCCACTCTATCTGAAGAAAAAAATGGAAAAATGTCCTCGGGTGAGGATAAAAAAACAAAAAGAAACTGTACTTTAGCAGGCTGTGAACACGCAGAGAAAGTAAGGGCATGTACACCGTCCCAGCCTGTAAGCGTGGCCAGGCCTCTCCCAGGCAGGTGGGTCCCTCGCGTGCGGCCTCGTTCCTGCTGAGTCATCTGCAGTGTGACCCTTGAACGCTGTAAAGCAATTACAGCCGAAGTTCCATGAAGGTGGAGCACAACCTGTCTACAATCGGAGTCACTGGGCTACCACTTGGGGGAAGATCGCTGTCTCACAGCCCAGGGGTCTTTGACCTTGACAAGCCCAGCTCTGTGACCCTCAGATGGACGGGGTGAACTGCACAGCTCGGCGGATGACATACATGACCCGTTTTCTGAAACGCTTCCAGGGCGTTCACCCAGCCGGCCACGGGTCCCTTGTCATCGGTCGAACCTCTCCCGTACAGTTTGCCTGGAACACAACCAGCAAATTCATAACGTTACGATGACAAGGAGACAGCCGGGAGCGAGTCCTCACATGTGTCCTGTTTCCCTCGACAAGGGGCTGGAGTCCCAGCCTGCACTGCTGCTGGAATGAGCGGGAACGGCTGTCCTCTGCGGTGGCCGTGGAAGCTCCGTCCCCACCGTCCCCCGCGGGCAGAGCTGTTAGCAGTGCTCACGACCCTGCTGACTCAGGGCAGACTTCAGACCCAGGTCCAGGAGCCTGCTATCCGTGGACTGCTCGTTAACACCTACTTCCACGACCAGTGAGGAGTGAGGGGGGGGAGAACTGGGCACAGGGAGGAAGCCACCTTATCAAGAGAACAACAATCTCATCCCACCCAACCTGGACATCTAATTTGATAAAGAACAGAACGGATGCTTGTCTTTGCTTCCCCAGGGCATCACTGAACGTGACAGCACAGTGCTGCTCCTCAGTGAGGGGCAGCCCCACCCCTCTGCACCGGTCCTGGAGCCCTCCTACAGGGTGTCCCGGCTGGGAAACGAGGCGGGGCCTTCCTCCTGGCCGCTGCCATGTGGCGCAGAGCAGGACGCAAGCAGGGCATGTGGCCGCCCGTGCCTGCCCGGGGCCCAGCTTCCCTGTCCTGGTCAGCCAGACTTCCTCACTTCCAGGACTGCAATGTTTGCAGTTTCAACATGACCCAGCCCGAGCAGTATGAGGCTTAGGGCCATCATCACCCGGGCGGAGCCGCACTGCACAGCCCACGTGCGGGAACGGAATTTCCCCGGGGCCGCCCCGCTCAGGGCAGAAGGCCGCACTGTGCACGCCCAGGGCTCGTCGGAGGCTGGGCCGTGCACCCAGGGGGGCCTTCAGTGCAGAGCCCGGGCGCCCGAGGGCGCGAGGTCGGGCTTCCGTACTGGCTCAGACTGTCAGGGCGCAAACCTGAGGATCGGGGAAGGAGGGCAGGCATGCCTGGCAGGGTGGCGCTCCTGACTGAGTGGTCTCCATCCCCACCCAGGGCAGCCAGGGGCAGGGAAGACAAACGCTTCCCTGGCATCTCAGAGGCGCATGGAAGCATCTAGAAATCGGCTGTCACTGGACGACAGGTGTCTGGGGGCTGCACTGCCTCAATCAAAACAGAGGGAAGCCTGGCTGATCCGAGGCCACAAAGCCTGTTCCACAGGACGGGAAGGCTCGCCCGTGCTCCTGTGACGGTGCACACGCGTGACGCTTCTGGAAGCCGACTTCTGCATTGTGTCAGAACAGTATGTTCTGGGAGGACAGCCAAGGGCGGTGCGGGTGGCCGTGCTGAGAGGGGCGGCTCTGGAGCGCTGCTCCTCCTGGGGCATGTCCTTACCGTCTCGCTCCACCAGGGTGAAGGGCTCGCTGTCCCAGCCGTCCTCCAGGGCTGCCGGCTGCACGTCCAGATGGCCGTAGATGCACACGGTTTTCTTGCGGGGGTCGGAGCCCAGCTTGCCGAGCAGAATGGGAGGAAGTGGTATCTCTGAGCCATCAGGGAGCTGCGAGGGAAGAGGGAAGCCAGTGAGGACAGCCTTGGTCTGAAAACCCGGTGTTCATGCGACATTATAAAAATACCTCGAGCTCTTGTCCCTTCTCATCAATGACTCCATTGTAGGGTTTAAGATCATATTGCTCAACGGAGTCATTAATTAACAGGAAATTACTTTCCTATAATCCAGAGTACAAAGACTGAATTATGTTTACCAACTGCAGGCAATTTGGTAAATTTTTAAAGGCAGATTGATTTGTTTAACTTTTATACAACAAAACAACTTATGAAAGGCAACTTTGAGGAGCAACTTAGTTCAGTCTTTTCTAAAATAATGGATAAAAACTACTGTGATCTTATAGCAGGAGGTGGGTGTTTGAAAACCTGTGCATAGACCACAGTTCTGCACAAAGGGCCATAGAGCAGACGCAGGGACTAGGCCACAGGGGCCGGGTGAGCGAGCACACTGAGCTGGTGGTGCTGGGCTCCCACGGTCCCGTGAGGATGGGGTCCGCGCACTGACCACGCCTTCTCTCTGGGACAGCAATGTGGGGTGCGAAGGCAGACTCAGGCTCCTCCCACGCCCACATCAGCTCACCTCTCCAACCACCACCTTGAAGCCCGGCCCTGCACCCTGTCCCTGCTCTCCCAGCTCCTATCCCAGCAGGGACACCTGTCACATTACCAAGCACACAAGCAAAGGGCCGGCGGTGGCTGCAGGAGGCAGGGGGGGGAAGCACATCCTGCTCTGTCAGCTGCCAGGTGAGAAGATTCATGCCCGTGTGTCATCAGTAGCCAGCTACCAGCCAAGTCTTTATGAAAACACACATTAATAAACAGACTAGCCCCGGCCGGTTTGGCTCAGCGGTTAGAGCATCAGCCTGCGGACCAGAGAGGCCCGGGTTCGGTTCCCGCTAAGGGCACATACCTCGGTTGCAGTTTGTCCCTGGCCCTGGTTGGGGTCGTGTGGGTGGCAACACACTCGTGTCTCTCTCGCATCGATGTTTCTCTCTCTCTCTCTCTTCGTTCCCTCTCTCCCTCCCGCTCTGTCTCAAGACAAAAATGCAAGAATATCCTTGCGTGAGGATAAAAAAAATAAAAATAAATAATCACAGACTAAACTGGTAATGAAGCTAAACCAACTATTTACAATCAAGAGGTAAACAAACAGCCAGTAAAAGTGACAAGCCTGCCCCGGCCGGTTTGGCTCAGCGGTTAGAGTGTCAGCCCGTGGACCAGAGAGACCCGGGTTCGGTTCCTGCTGAGGGCATGTACCTCGGTTGCAGTTTGTCCCCAGCCCTGGTTGGGGTCGTATGGGTGGCAGCCAGTCGATGTGACTCTCTCACATTGATGTTGCTCTCCCTCTCTCTCTCCCCGCTCTATCTGAAGATAAATGCAAAAATGTACTCAGGTGAGGATAAAAAAAAGTGATAAGCCTATCAGAGCGAGGCTGGTGATGGGCTGATGAAAGTTTCCCCCAAGCTCCAGGGGCTCTGAGCACCTCCAGCTGTACACGTACATCTGGGAACATGCCAGGCTGCTGGAATTTTTATAGGACTGTAGATTTCTTTCCAGTAAACTCCACTCACAAATACTCAGTGTAAGTAACTCTCAGTAGCCCCACGAGTACCCCTGTGCAGCCCTCACAAAATCACCAGACTGGAACAGGAGGCCCAGGTTTTAGTCTCCTTTGCCATGAACTAATGTGTTCCCAGTGGAGACACAGCCCACCCGGGCCTCTGGGTGTTTCCATTCATGAAAAGAGCAGACTGGAATGAATGTCCACAAGTAAAATCTGGGGACAATGACCTCAACTGATAGTTAAATCACCAGGCAAGAGAACTGAGATAGCCCTGGCCTGTTTGGCTCAGTGGTTGGAACACTGGCCTGAGCACTGAAGGGTTAAGGGTTCGATTCCTGGTCAAGGGCACATACCTGGGTTGCGGGTTCCATCCCTGACCCTGCTGAGGTCATGCAGGAGGCAACCAATCCATGTGTCTTTCCTGCATTGATGCTTCTCTCTCTCTCTCTCTCTCTCTCTCTCCCCCCCTCCCTAACCCCTCCTTCCCTTCCACTCTCTCTAAAGATCAATGGAAGAATATACTCAGGTGAGGATTAACAATAACAACAAAAAGAGAATCAAGATAAAGCAAACCTTGCCACATCCTACAATATAAAATGATTCCGCAACTTTGAAAGTACATGGCACGAAACGTAATCCACACAGAACCAGACTCATCGGATGAGGTGTGAGTGACTGTTCACTCCAGTCAGGGAGAAAACAAACCAAAGTCGCCCGTGGGAGCCCAGCCCCACGCAGAGTCCTCTTTCAGGACACAGCACTGTTCCCAGCGGCTGGGACGGTGCAGACAGAGTGAGGGGGCAGTGGGAGCCTCCACGTTCACACCTTGTGGACAGAGTGTAACTGCCTCGTTTGAAAGCAGACTGATTTCTGGGGAACCCCAGCTGTTTTCTAAGGTGCCTCTAACCTGTCCTGGGGCGCTCTCCGCAGCCCCTTCCTGGAGAGAAACGCCGAGGACGCGGAGCCCTCGCCCAGTCCACCTGGAGAGACCGCACGGGGACGGCACCCAGTCGGCCTGTTCACAGACCAGCAGGGCATCTGAGCGACGCTCATACCTTCTGTTTCCCAATGTCCACCAGCTCCACAGAGCCGCCCAGCTGCTTGATGTCCGCCGCGGCGACTTCCATCATCCTTCGGATTTCCCCTCTCTTCTCGGGCCACGCGGACACGCTCTGGATGGCCACCCATTCCGCAAGCTTCTGTTTGTGGACAATGAGCAGAAAGGGATTCTCAAAAGGTGCTCCGTGAGGAAGAAAGGCACGTGTGCCGTGTTCCAGGAGCCCTGCACCGTGGCCACTCCGTGCTGAGCATCTGGCCAGATGTGGGGGGACAGGTCCATCACACCTGCTTTTTTGCTAAGATTTTTAAACCCTGCTTTTACTGACCCTGTAGCAAGAACTATAGCATAACGGAAACATGTACGAATGTTTAGTTTTAACTGTTAAGCATGAGATAAATGTGAAATATACAAAGTCCATAAATACCTATATATCTGAATCTAACAAAACTACAACTGAGGGACACAGAAAATACCCAAGATTTTTCAATTCAGGTTAGCTTAGTTATCATCCTGACGATGGCCAAGTTCTCCAAAGTATAGTTTTTGGAATGAGAGCTCTAAAGATTTAATCTGAAACGTGTCCACCAAGAATAACTTTAAAGTATGATTCTTTAAATTAATCTCAAGAGTCAGATTAGCTCTATTTCGAGAAACACATATTAAGACTTTCTGTCAAAAGACAGAAATGTAACTTCTATGCTGTAATGAGGAGGTAAAGGAAGACATCTCCAGACTTACATGTACAAACTGGGGCAAAAGTAGGTTTACAGCTGTAAGCGAAACAGTTCATTCTCATGAACTGTTATTTATTATTGTAGTATTTTCCATACAAACAACTGTACACCTGTTTTTGCCCCACCCTGTACACAACTACACACACACACAGACAGACAGTTTTTAGTTACTATTTTTTTGCTGTGAGAACACTTGAGAACTACTACTCTGTCAGCAAACCCAAGGTTCTAACACAGTATCGCTAACTGCAGTCACCGTGCGGTACATTAAACCCCCAGAACGTACTCATCTGAAACAGAGTGTGCTCTGTGCCCAACAACTCCCCACTTCCCGCAGCCCCTGGCCACCACTGTTCCACTCGCTGCTTCTCGAGCCCCTTTTCAGACTGCACACACAAGAGAGATCACGAGCATCTGTCTGCCTTTCACACTTGGCTTAAACAGTGTAACTCTAATCAGTTTCCCTGAGCCCCAAGGGACTAAACGGGATTTCAAGTTTATTAGATTAAATAAATAGTCTCTTACCTTAATGTAGCGATCCTGATTTTCATCCACGTACTTAAACAGGGCAGTGAGCACCGACATCTTCCAACCAGAGGGCAGACCTCGGAGATTCTTGGAAGGAACAGCGACCTGTCAGTCCTGCCTCTACAGGGCCCAACTGAAGGAAAAGCCCTGGATTCCTCAGGGTCAGGAATTCCTGCCCCACCCTCCTGCCGCAGTCATCAAGAGGGTTCCAGGAAGTGACCGCAGAGGCAGAAGCGAAAGTGGGGATGCAGCGAGTCTCAGGTTCACCTCCCCACTTTTTCAGAAGGAAAATGTACCCCAAATTGTGTGACAATGGCAGATAATGAAGGAAGGGCCTGCCTGAGCTGAAGACAATCTGATGAAAATTAAAAGTAGGCACTTCCCAGTAACACTGACTTATCAGCACTTAAATGTTTCATTTAATTTTACTCTCTTGAAACACACAGAGAACTTTCCATTGCTATGACCAGGAGGCAGTCCTCGCTCCGAGGATCCCAGAAAAAATGTCTCAGCCTGTCTCACAGCCACAAGCGAGCGCACCACACAGCAAAGAAACCACGGACAGGCAGATAAACTCCAAGAAAGTTGACAGCCTGAGTCCAGAGCCTGCCCAAGTCCACACACAGAGCCTCCACCAAGGCCTCGCTAGGATCAGTAGCTCCAAGTATCTGCTCCCCGTTGCCCTGTGCATTTCTAACACCCGCTTTCCCACGTGGGAGACCCAGCACATCCCACTCCACCCCACACATGCGGGGAAAAGAAATCCTGTCACGAGTCACCTTTACAATCTGGAATGCATGTGAAAACCACGATTCTGCTGTGTACTGGGACTTTCAAAACTGCTGTCCCATTCCTTCAACTGACGATTCGGATGCCATGCGTGGTTGCAAAGGGCTCCACGCAGACTCACAGGATCCCGCCACGTCTAGAATGCTGGTGCCTGGGCACCGACACACTGTAGTTTAAGAGCGTATTTTGTTTGGTATCAGATTCCAATGTGACTTCGGAACAGGGGAGCCCGTGTCCACTGTGACATGAAGCAGGGCAGCTGCTCGGCGAGAGCGGATCAGACTGCTTATTCTCGGTGCCTCTTTCCTCCTCTTCAGACACCGGCCACGGAGCAGAGAGCACAAACCTCCCAGCCCGCCCAGATGGCTTCTGAAGCCCTTATCCGAAAGAGCCAGCAAGACAGCCCGTGGATGCTACAGAGAAACTTCATGGGTGTTCATTGTCATCCGTCTATCACCAAGAATGTAAACAGGAAGCTGTCTATGCCAGTATGCTATGCTGGGCTTTTTTTTTATCCTCACCTGAAGACATTTTTCCATTTTTTTGTTCAGAGAGAGTGGGAGGGAGGGAGAGAAACATCGACGTGAAAGGGACACATCGAGTGGTTGCCACCCGCACAACCCAACCAGGGCCGGAGGTACGTGCCCTTAGCAGGAACCGAACCCAGGTCTCTCTGGTCCGCAGGCTGATGCTCTAACCGCTGAGCCAAACCGGCCGGGGCTGGGCATTATTTGGGTTCCTGGTCATCAAATACCACAAGTTCCAAACCCACTGTGGTATATTCTCATTCATATCATGCTCTCTGCAGGCAAATTAGCCCATGGCCTTCCAGTAGAGCCACTCAAAGGTGAAAGTACCCAGACTGCACCTTTCCCCCAAGGAGAGTCAACAGGCCAAACTGGAAGCCAACTCACCAGGACTGGGCCAAAAGTCAGCAACATCTCTGAACTACCAATCAGTCAAAACCGGCCAGGCCAGGTCTCCTCCCTCCCTCCCACTCACAGTGCTGGGCTATCCCTGTCCTCCCCTTCCCCTGCTAACTGGGACCTGCCGAACCCAATCTGGTACGCAAGTAAAAAGTGCTGTTTTGGAGTGAACAAAAGCAAATATCCTTTTGAAGTAAGTCCCGTCCCGGCTCGGGAAACCTGAAGTTCCTGGGGAGTAACACAATTTCAATAGTGAAACTGGTGGGAGGGGAAGCAGGAATGATCCGGCAGCCCTGGGGCCACCACCACCACCTACAAATCACTCGTCGACCACTAAACTCCTGGCAAGTTTTACAGCGAACAAGTGTCTGAATCGTGACTCTGGAGTCTCTGCAAAACAAAACAACAAAAACCCCCACTAAAACAGGGGCGGGAACCTCCAATTCGCCCCATCTAGAGCTTTATCCCGAACACAGTTTTACAAATCATTCTTCACTCCTCCGAGCAAACACCAGGGGCGACACAGGTGGGTCGGGGAGGGCCCCGTACAGGTGCAGGTTCTCCACGGCTCACACCGACCAAGCTCCCGGACGACGCCCCGGGACCCCATCGGGGGGCAGGGGACGGGCTGGGGGGTCGCCTCCATTTCACAGGTGAGAAAACTGAGGCTGACGGCACCACCGAGCTGCTCGGGCCCGCAGGCTGCACGCCCCAGGCTTTAAGCCGGCGGGGGCTGGAGACCCCGGGCCCTCGGACGCCGGGCCGAGCAGCATCACCAACCTGGGCCTTCGCCAAAGGCTCTGCGGGCGGGAGGGCGGCTTCCGTTTGCCGCGGGCCTCGGGCCCGAGGGCGCGCCCTTCCCCGCCGCCCGCGGAGCCTGGACTCCGCACCGACCGCGCTTGAACGACACCCCCGTTTCCGGGCACCGCCGGCCACGCCGAGCAAGCGGTGGGCGCGGCCCCTGCAAACCCCCTCCCCGGCCCGCTGCCCCCGGAGCCCTCAGCCCCTCCCACACCCGGGGCCCGGGGACTCCCCGTCTGCCCGCCGCCCAGCCCGCGAAGGCCGCTCACCCGCCCGCAGCCGCCGTGCCAGGCCCGCTCCGAGTGCGCCAGTCACGCCCCCGGCGTGGCCTGCTCCGCCCACCAATCCCTGCTCCTTCTGGGCTAGCGTCGCCCCGCCCCCGGCGTGGCCTGCTCCGCCCACCAATCCCTGCTCCTTCAGGGCTAACGTCGCCCCGCCCCTGGCGTGGCCTGCTCCGCCCACCAATCCCTGCTCTTTCAGAGCTAGCGTCGCCCCGCCCCCGGAGCGTCCTGCCCGCGAATCCCCGGCCTCTTCCGGGAACAGGCATAACTCCGCCCTGCCCTGCCTCCGCCCCGCCCCCTGGAGGCGCGATCCCGGGCTGAGTGCGCGTCCCGGGACTGTGGTCTCCTTCCCGGCCTTTTGCTCACGCTGACTTGGTGCCTTGGACTGGGGCCTCAATGTCGGGGTCTGACCCGGTGACCTCTAATGAGGTTCTGAGGTCCGAAGGGGACCCCACACCCTGAACCCTCTGACTTCGGAGGGGTCCCCTCCCGGTGGGCCCTGAGCAGGTGCACATTTTGCTGGCCACACACACATTTCCATCTCACACCGGACTTCTTTCCCAACACCTTCACCAGCACCCTTGCCAATATTTTAGTGTTTAAATCCAGTAACCCCAGGAATCAATAAGGAAGGCAGACTGTCAACCAATGGTCATTGTGGCCAATTCAGTGTCAACAGAAATCCTGAATTTGGGGTGCAGTGAATAAGGAAACTTCATGCAATTGGTCTATTCTCATGTAAATGAGGACTCCAAATCCTTGCAGTTTGATTGGTCTGATTGGTGCTAATAAGGATATAACTGTGCAGTTCCAATTAAACAGGGAAAGTCTCAGTCCTACTGGTTGAATAGGATTCCAGGAACTTCTGGGCTGGCTCAGATGGCAAGAACACAGTGTGGGCAAGCAGTGCAGGCTTCTTCCTGAGGAGGGTAAGGTGAGAGGCTCCTGTTTAGAATCAGCTGCTAGGCTCTGTTTTTTTTGTTTTTGTTTTTATCCTCACCCGAGGACATTTTTCCATTTTTTTGTTCAGGTAGAGTGGGAGGGAGAGAGAGGAACAGAGAGAGAGAGAAACATCGATGTGAAAGGAACACATTGAGTGGCTGCCACCCGCACGACCGACCAGGGCCGGAGACAAACTGCAACCGAGGTACGTGCCCTTAGCGGGAACCGAACCCGGGTCTCTCTGGACCGCAGGCCGACGCTCTAACCGCTGAGCCAAACCGGCCAGGGCTAGGCTCTGTTTTTTAAATGTTGAGCCCAGTTAGCCACCAGGAGCCCTTCTTGGTAGGTGTCTTCATTCCCAGGTTCCACTCCAGAAGACCCTTCGTTCATTTCTTGATCTACTACTTATCTTTTTCTTTTTTTTTTTTATCCTCACCCGAGGACACTTTTTGCATTCATCTTTAGATAGAGCGAGAGGGAGAGAGGGAGGAAGAGAGAGAGAGAGAGAAACATCGATGTGAGAGAGACACATTGACTGGTTGCCTCCCAAACGACCCCAACCGGGGCCAGGACAAACTGCAACCGAGGTACAGGCCCTTAGTGGGAACCGAACCTGAGTCTCTCTGGCCTGCAGGCTGACGCTCTAACCGTTGAGCCAAACCGGCCAGGACTACTACTTATCTTTTTAATCTTGACAACAATTCTTGGGGTAACGACTATCTCCATTTGAGTATTTCCAAAGATATTGGCAAAACTTGTACCCCTCCCACATTCAGTTTTTTCTTTAAATAACAAGTGTAACAATTGCAAAGGATGTAATTTCCTACATCCTGTAAATATATTTAAATAAAATGACCTCCCCAATTAAATTTCACTTCTTTTTTCTTTTTGAAATTGTATTTCCATTTATATTTCTTTTTTTTTTTTTTTTTTATCCTCACCCGAGGACATTTTTCCATTTTTTGCACAGATAGAGTGGGAGGGAGAGAGAGGAAGAGAGAGAGAGAGAGAGAGAAACATCGACGTGAAAGAGGCACATCGAGTGGCTGCCACCCGCACGACCAACCAGGGCCGGGGACAAACTGCAACCGAGGTACGTGCCCTTAGCGGGAACCGAACCCGGGTCTCTCCAGACCGCAGGCCGATGCTCTAACCGCTGAGCCAAACCGGCCAGGGCTCCATTTATATTTCTCACAGAATTTTTTCAGTTGTAACATTTTTATACTGCATAGTCTTTTATTGATGATCCTGTCATACTTCTCTGCAATAGAATATATTTAAATTAATATTTACTTTCCTATAATGAAAGTTCTAAGAGCTAAAATTTTTCTTCTTGATTAAATTCTCATGACAATTATTATTAATACATGATTGATTAAAAACAACTAAATATATTACATTTGGGTGAAGACTTTTAGATATTAACAGGAATTCATCGAAGTGTATTCTTTAATCATATCTATTGTGCTTTTAAAAAATTAGTTCAGCCCCGGCCGGTTTGGTTCAGCGGTTAGAGCGTCAGCCTGCGGTCCGGAGAGACCCGGGTTCGGTTCCCGCTAAGGGCATGTACCTCGGTTGCAGTTTGTCCCCGGCCCTGGTTGGTTGTGCGGGTGGCAGCCACTCGATGTGTCCCTTTCACATCGATGTTTCTCTCTCTCCCCCCTGCTTATCTGAACAAAGAATGAAAAAGTGTCCTCGGGTGAGGATAAAAAAATAAATAAATAATAAATAAATAAAAAATTAGTTCAGGTATTGTCAACATAAGAAACATTCAAATGTGTAGAGAGAATTGGTTAAGAGTTTATTTGAGCCAAAACTGTTGACAATTGTCAGGAAGCAAAACCTCAATGGACTGAGATAATGCTCCAGAGAATGGCAGTTTTGCAACTTATTTTATACATTATAATAAAAAGAGGAGGCGTCAGTGGGTTACATGAAATCCATTGGTGCTAGATTAGGGAGATGAGAAAGAGCAAAGAGGAGAAACATCTGGGATTGGATACAAATTAAAATGATAAATGGGGGAACAGGAGAAACATCTGTAACAAAAATAAATGGATAAAAAATAATAAAAGAGAAGGAAAAGTAAAGTGATAGGCACAGATTTTGCACAGGTGGGTACGGGATAGTTAACAGCCGACAATTAACGTGATGACAACAGCAATGAGGGAATGTGTAATCTCTGCTCTGGCTCGGTTGTCGTGTCTGGAGGGGCCAGAAAAAGGGACGTTACCCTGACGTTGCAAAGGTACAGTATCGTAGATGCGGAAGACAATAGTGGGCAGGCTCAGTTAAGGTCAAGGTTGACTTTTGTCAGGGAAGAGTCTAGCCTAGAACATGACTGCCCACCATGACCTACTTTTCGTTAGAAAGTTTTCATTTCAGACCATCCTCTGTGGTTACTTTCAGTCTCTGAGTTTGTAAGTCCACCTGAGCAGGTGTAGTATGTGGCCCTTTTTGTCCACAGGTGTCTATAAATGAGATTATTGCTGGAATGAGACAGGGTTCAGTGGGAAATACAGAAAAAGAAAAAAAAAGAATAGAATCTATAACACATTGCCTGTTAAGTTTATCAAGATTTTATAGGTCTGTGGTTATAAA